TTAGGGTATTAACTCAAAACAAAGGATATTAAATGGATATAGAAATATTCAGTAGAATTGTCGAGGTTAAGCAAGTTTAAATGGTATTTATACAGTATATTAAATAACATATTTAACAGATTTCTTTCCTCTTATAGTAATCATATTTACCAAACATGTCTGACTTTGTTCTGGTTGCTATGCCCACTTTTATTGTTAAGTACAATCAAGCAAGTGCCTAATGAACAGGCCTATTGATAATAGCCATTAATAGTATTTAATGTACCTTTATTCTTTTGTTATTAAACCATAAGTTTAAATATATCTAGTAGGTTAACTAGGTTTAGAATTCTACAATTATTGATGTAGGTGTTCAGTAATTGAATTAAACAATGCTAAATTTCAGTCATAACAAATCACATCCTTTGGATCCATGCAATTTTTTTTTTTTTTAACTTCATTCTTCCCAGTTTACAGATTTCAAATAAATTGAGTAGGTTGTAGAATAATTTAAACAGTTTTTTCTTTTTAAATTTCAACCAAAAGCTCCATGATTTGGAAGTGCTTATTCTGATTTTATTAAAATGGGTCTGTCCGTCTGTCTGTCTTCCTTTTAATTGGGCTAGAATGTTCAAACTTGGTGTACTTGTGTACATGACGTAAATGGGTGCATGCCTTGACAGAGTTTGATCATGCGCATTTTCCAGTAAGGCTAAGCAAAGATAAGCCATATGATTGGTTGAGACTTTGTAACACGATAACTTTGGTTCCTATTTGGTGAGAGCAATGAAACTCTGAGGAAAGATTGATTATATCAATAAGCTTACCATGACTAAATTCGATTATGGGAATGTTCTGCCTAGGCTAAGTAGCGATAAGCAATTTGATTACCAGGTACTTCAAAACCTGACTGAGTTTGATCGTGAACATTTTATGCTTAGACTAAACATAGAAAATCAGTTTGATTGCTTGATACTTTTGAAAAAGATAAATGTGCAATTAATTAATATGTGTCATCTATTTATTTTTGGGATTTCAATCGGGTTTGGTAGGTATGTTGCTTAATTAGGTGTTGCTTATTCAGATTTGTTAAATAAAGATGATCATCCCATTTAGGGGTGGGACCTTAAAAGCACAAAGTTAGCCAATTTTCACATCTGCTGAACATTTTGATAAGAGTTCAAACAAATGTTGTGGATATGCTTAGGTTGAACTTATTTGTATTTAAATGGGAAAATTTCTGACATATTTGGGACACATTTGACACACTTTTCTATTTCTATTACTTATGACAGGGTAAACTGCATTTGTATATTACAAGATTATTCTCATCTAGTATGTTTACTACAGATTAAGATGGCTGGCTTTACTATTGGTTTATTGGTTATTATATCAATATAAAAATGGAGTTACATCCTACTGTTCTGCTCTATGGTGGCCCATGGTTATCATAGCGAAATGTGTGCTATGTACAGTGTGCTATGATGGCAATTGTTCCCGGAGAGTGGCACTACGGCCTACTCTTATACTGAATTCCCACTACCAAGGGATCTTTTGCGTGCACGCCAGTGTCTCCACAGAACCTTGTTTTTTTTTGTACCATGGCATCGGTTAATAATAGCGGCCTGTAGGCAACAGACACAAACATTGGGCGTGGCTCTGCCCCTGGGGGTCAGGCATGCACCAAAAACAATAGCAGTCATCCTTAGGGTATAAGGATAAGTAGGCGAAGTTTCAAGTTCATGCACCACTGACCAGGGGGTGACCATGACGGAAAATCACGACAAACTACAAACTTTCTTGGCTAGTGTAGGGATCGAACACGCGACCTCCTGGTAGTGAGTCAATGTCCTACCCACCGAGTCACCGTGGCTCCCTATATATTTAGATATCTGTGCTATTACCTACAGGCCGCAATTTTGAAGGGATTATTCTAGAATTTGACATATTTAATCCTTATAGCATCCTGTATTCAAAACCTGCATTGGCCAAGAAAGTTCTTCCAGATTTTACGGTGTGGTTCCCTCTTGTTAATGGTGTAGGATTGAGAACCTGGCAAGGAACAACGTGTAGTCGTTTGGATGGGACGAAAAACCGATGTCCCGCATACTCTTTGGCGTGCATGTAAAAGATCCCTTGGCAGTTGGAATTTGATATAAGAGTAGGCTGGGGTGCCGCTCTCCAAGCACAATTTCCCCTTTAGCACACTGTCGGAGCAGAACAGTAGGACGTTAAACCCCATTTGATGTCATTTCTAAATATATATACATCCGATTCACTGGATAGTGGATGTAAAATATCACCTTATGATTAGAGTTGCCGCAACAAGTTAGATGCACGTTTCGAGTATAGTTCCGTTTGAATGATAACGATGGGCTGACATGTATATTTTAGTTTTCATTTCACTTTTCGATTTAAACAAAACAAAACGTTTTAATTTTTTTTTCATTTAAGTTTTCAAATTCCTTTTTTTTAATACTTTTAATTTATTATATTTTTTTTTATTATATTTAATTTTTTGATTTATATTGATTTTAATTTCATTTAATTTAGTTTTCATTTTTTGTGGGGGATATTTTCTTTTCTTTTTTTTTTACACAATTCTCTATGGTAACCATGGATCACAATACTGGTTTTATATCAATATGCAAAGTGAGGTTGAAAGTTGAGTCCATTGAGGTGGAAACTATGGTTATAACAGTAAATATAGCATACATAAATGTCACAATAAACTTTTCCAGACTCAAAGGGACAACAAAAGCAAATGTCCCATAAATATTTTAATAGTAACAAATATGTAAAACCTAGATCATTATCTGATTAGTAATACACATTAGTGTAGCTAGGATTGTGGATTTTGACCGGAGGCCATTGAGCCAAACAATTCTGAAAAACTTTGAGTACCGGTATATAATTTTTGTTCTTTAATCTGTATGCAGATTTAGCTCTTGCATAAATGCATCTTTAAAGGTTGTTGATATAATTTAATCAAAAAAAGCCAAACAATGTGTAAACATTGGAGCGGCCTGTAAGAAAGAGACTTATTGTTAACTTCACAAACTGTGAGTATACTATCCACCTACAGAGGTATGTGTGTTGTGCAAGGGTGGATCAAAGAGTCACGTTTTATACACAATTAAAATATAAAAGAATCTGAATAAAAAAATAATAAAATATTTAATAAATATTTGCTAGGGAACAGGGCACATTGGTGTTATAATCTAATCTACTTGAAATTTATATGTATTCTTCAGAGGCCCTAAGCATTGAAAATATTATAGTGCCATCATCTGTAATTTAAAATGGAACAAAGAGAGAGAGAGAAATGGGGTTTAACGTCCACTCGACACAAACTAGGTCATTTCGGGACTAACATATGGTTTAATTTTTATTTACATAATTCGCTTGCGCGTAGGGGTCTTTAGCAGTGGGAGGAAACCGGAGGACCCGGAGAAAACCCACGAGGTTGGACAGGCGACCCTACTCCTTGCCACATACATCCTGGGATTCTAAACCACGCCAGTCGTCTCAATGACAGACTTTATGATACAGCGCGCGCACGCTAACCATTCAGCCATCCAACCCCCAAAAATGGAACAAAACGTATATGTATGTAAAATATCCTTTTTTTCTAGATTTTCTGATTGGAAAATCTTGGTTAATTTCATTCAACTGCAGACAAATGAAAGGATTAACTTATTAGATGTATTTAACCATTATTTATTACAATACATGTTTCTGCAATGCTTGTCATGTTTTTTGTGGGCCACAGTTCCGAAGCACCATGGTAAATCAGTCATTGTGAAATACTCTGTGATGTTCCCTTTCCCTTACGTGCCCCCCAAGCAGATGCTTATTATCCTCGAGATAATCAGGGAAATCCCCCAAAAGGAATGTGTTCGAGTAATTGATAATTTTGCCGAAGCCATTTGGAGTATATTTTAGAGAAAACATGACTTTTATGCAAAGCCACCAAGATAACTGAAACTTTATGATTCTGGGTTGTTTGGGTTTTTTTGGTCACCCTGTATGTGATATAAGTAGGCTGGCTTAATGTCCTTTAAAATCATCCTCTGGGTCACCCTGAAATGTTTCACCTCCACATACTTGAGTGGGGTGACTATCAGTGAATAGCAAAGCCAACATCTACTTTACAGGGAGTGAGTGACACATACACACACACTCATAATATATACATATAAAAAGGTAAAATCGTCAGCCTAACAACCATGTTATTGTCTGTACACAATCGACCTAATGACTAATAAAAGGTGGAAGTATGTGACGTCAGATTGCAAATTTAGTTTACACAGAGATAAATTTTAAAATATCAAGAAAGAAAAAAAGATATATTATACTACTATGTGTATCGTGTATCGGTGTCCAATTTCAGTTATGTAGCCATTATATTTTATCAGTGATACGATTATGACAAATATTTAATACAAGTTATTGTCGAAATGGAAGGTTTTTTTATTTAATAATTTTAAATTGCTTATTAAAATCATATATGGTACACTTGGGAATACCAGACATATTGATCCCTTCCATTAATACTCTAAGAAAATAGAGAAAAATGGTATTTGGCATCTACCCAACACAATCTAGTACTGGGAAGAAAGCAGAGAAACCTTACTCATCAAATATATGCCTTGACTAAATGACAGTTCTTATGATCTAAAGTGCTTGTATTAGACCACTTAGCATCCCATCCCCTATTTCACTAAATGACTCCTCTCAAACAGCGAAATGAAAATGTAATCTTTGCACACTAAGCAGTACTGTAGCTCTAGTACATCATTGGATTTATTACCCAGACAGCAGCATCACACCCGTCACAAGCTGCTTTTTGTTAGTGTCAGATCATAAGAAAGTATACCTCTGTTTTTCATAATAACTGAACATAAAGTATCCATCCGGTCGTTAGGACGGAAGAATGCACAGGCTACATGCAAGACTTAATTCTCCATACACTTTGGGACTGGGGAGTTTAAATCCCAATACAATTAATAACAGCAAGGTTTAATATCAATTCAGATTTTATTGTCAAAGAAAGGCATACTACAGTATATAAAGAATGACCTGAGCAACAATACTGCGAAAACATACAGGATTAAAAAAATTAATCATTCTTAGAGGATTCCATCATCATAAAATTATCTGTGATGAACAATAAATTCCAAACAATAAAAATCTTATTCCTTGTTTTTGTTGGGTAAAAGACATTTTTTTTGTCTAGTTTCAGATACAATAAACCGAGGAAACCCTTTAAAAATCAGTAATTAAATGAGCTTTAAATAAAAGTACAGGTAATGCACTCAATGTGATATTTGGATCAGACCTTAAAAATATAATGCTCTGACAATCTCGGCTCTAAAAATTAAATCTGAAAAAATTGTATTTTCAATTCAAAATATGATTTGGGGTGCAATAGATGACCTGTTTGATCTTATAGGAATACATCTTTAAAAGCGAACCTTACAATAGTTATTGCCAAGTTGTAAAACTGATCATTTATATTCACAGCAGTACCACTCTGAGCATTTCTAGTCAGCTGGTTAATATTTGATAAACATTGAAAATTTATTACTAATCTGACAATGATTTGCAACTATTACAATGTACTTTGTGTTGACTTAGCTATTGGAATTATTACACTTTTGCACCTAATTATTACATCACCACCATACAAATCATCAATTCATATTTCATAACATTCCATTATAATATTTGATCCATTAATATTCCATATACATCATAAGCATATTTCATGAGCAAAACAAGCTAGTTTAACAATTCTTGAAATCATTCAAACAAGAAGTAATAAATACACCTATTTTTGTGTAGCAGTATGCAGTTTCTGTTTCCAGTTTGTAGGTGGTTACATCATAATCATGAAACGTTTACTACAAAAAATCTGTTCATTATCTATTCATTTCGAATGAGAAAATCTTGAGAGTAGGAAATAGGAATCAATCCTGCTTTTCAACAGAAAAAAACTATTAAGCACCTAGAATGAATGAATCAATGATTATTCAGCCAACAGAACGAGGTATTCAAATTCTGATTACTGATCACTTGATTTCTGGTTAGTTTTCATAATATAGCCAACAAAGCAATTTCTTCCCCCTGGTAATATCTTTTGCTGATCACTACAAATGTTTTCATTGTCACGTATAACCTACACTTAGTGGATATTTACATTAACCACAAGTGCCATATACTGAAACTTTGATTAAAGTGAATTGACCCATAGCTAAGTCCTTGTGTCACTGAAAATAACAATGCTATTTTTGATTTAAAGACTAGTATACAAAATACAGTAAGTATCAATTAGAGAAATACACCAAACAGATCTCACAAATACTGCACATGTACTGGGAGTCAATTAGATTAATTTCAATTGAACTACTTCAAGCATACTAAATATTAGCCTACTGTAAACTTCAGAATGTTTCTTGCTATCAATTTCGATATCAATCCAAGCCACATCAACAAAGCAGTGTAATGATTTATTTTTGTACATTATTTTATATTAGCGATGTTTATGTTGATATAAGACTTAATTTTCAAGAGCCAATAAATAAAAAAATAAGCCATAAAATCTAGTTTGTACCAGAAATTTGTATCTCGATAATTGACATTTCAAAAAGTCATGAAATAAATTGGAACAAGATACAAAGTGCTTAAAAAAAATGTTAAATAAAAAAATAATATATACATGTAATTGGCAACAAAATCAAGTTGAAAAGTATAAAAATATGTTGAATTATATAGATAGATCAATAATAAACACACACTGACTTATTTAGCTTAATATTTGAAAGTTGAACTGTTTACCTATCTCTGCTAATAACCCAAGAATCAAGTACACCATCTGAACACAGAAACGAGAATACTCAATTAAGTAAAGGTTATTGGTCTCAGTACGATTGTATCAAATTTGGTAATGAAGTAAGCTGGTCATATAAATTTACAAACTAGGAGGTTGGCATAAGTTAAATTATTGATTAAAGCAAAAAATATCTGCAACAATAATAAACATTAATACTAATGAAATTTCATACCATCACTAACAACTAGTTAATTATTTGTAATCATCACTGTTCACGACAAATACCATGATACATTTATCACACGTCATAGCCCAACAAGAGATAGTTACTGTTAAACTTACACTTCTATCATACAAAATAATACTTTGATTAAAGAGAGTACTATATAATTATGATAAATTGATTAAAATATACAGAATGAGATGAATGATTCTGACATAGTTACAAGGTATCTCACATAGCAAAAGAAATTGATTTTCAACGTCTACTCATAATAATATTATACATATTTATCTGATTATCTTTTACAAAACCTGCGGCAACAAACAAATTTCTGATTAAGTATGTACAGTGGGATGATAGTGACAATCACAATGGTGATCTGAAGCACCTCATTTGTCTCTGCTGTTTTTCCATACTATATGTTTTATGTTTTGGGGAGCAGGTCCTCCACAATATTAAACTATTATTGAATTGCTATCTTATCAATTAATTTTGTGTACTTATTTCTGTGAACTAATAAAGTAATCTAATGATAGGAGATACCTCATGGTTATTTAATATGTATATTTAATATAGTAAATCTCATTAAAGTATATTGGTGTACTGTGAACTAATAATGGTATAACAGTAATACAAACTATATATAGATAAGGGTTTAAGTTTAACCAGGAGTATTCATAATTTCACTTTCAACTTGTCATCATGTCCTATGTGCTATTTTGGCGAGAGAAAGGGAGAGATATCCACTTAACACAAACTAAGTTATTTCTGGAGTAACATGTGGTATTATTTCAACAATTCCCTTGCATGTAGGTGTCTTTAGCAGATAGCAGTGGGAGGACCCAGAGAAAGGTTAGGCAAGTGACATTCTCGTCACATGCAAGCTTGGGATCTAAACCATACCACATTTGACTTTACTCAATTACAGACCTTATGTTTAAGACCACCCATTCCTTCATACCCTACAAGCTATAAGATAGAATCCGACAAATTGAAAGTAGGAATGTAATTACCAAAGTAATAAATGCACAGTATAGTTAAATATTAGAATATTATTCGGGGGGAGCTAATTTTTTTCAAAATTTCTATGGATATGGAAAATCACATTTTTTTAAAAATTACCTATTGTTGAAGGAGGGCACAAAAAAATCAATTGGTAGAGGGTTGAAAAATAAATATATTTTGTGGTTGGATGTACAAAGAGTCATTCCCACTCATCAAAATATGGAATAGCCTGAAATGGTTGTTATACATTATTTATAGCCAACAGTAAACCCTTTAATTTTTAGAAATTGTAATTATCTTTAATTTATTCTACATCATGTTGAATTTTCACAATGAACATACATATTCAAATTGTTTTGAAAACAGTTAAGCTTTGAGCAATATTTTATATAAGAAAAATAAAACAGATTCAATTAAAAGAAAACATTGCCAAATTATCATTTTTCAGCTATTCAATTAACTTCAGACATGTAATATAGTTTGTTATAAATTGTGTTAACTTTGTGTAACATTTTACTTATTTTATCGCCCCATGTATTTTTTTCACTAAAAGCCTTATTTTTTATCACACCGTGTCATTTTACTATAAGTCTTATTTTTATCACATGTAATTTTACTATAAGCCATGTCATTTCTGTATTACTATAAGACATATTTTATCATACCATGTCATTTCTCTATAAGCCTGATTTTATCATACCAGTAGAAATATTGAACTTTCCACTCATTTGTCATATTCTATGATTATTATTAATCTGATAATAGCTTATCAAATTGATATGATAGATCATATCTAAAACAATACTATAAATCTTTATCAGTTAATGGCACAATTACCTAACAATGTTCTAGTCCATTTTCATCAAAGAACAGATAAATCAGATACAAAATTAAAGGCTCTGATCGTCATTTGAGGGATTTTTTAACCCTTGCAAACTACAATAAAGCATCTAGCCAGGAAAAATTAGATACTGTTTGAAAAATGCAAATGACAGTCAGCGACTTGAAATACATCTCCTCAAAATACATATTATGGCATAAACCTTGATATTTTTATATTTATTTCAAGTGTATTTAACACAGTTTTCACTACAAAAATATTACCAGCTAGTCTAAGTCAATTTTTAAAAGTATTTTGTTTATCTCAGATTAGCATTTTTTTTTTAGAATTATACCAATTTATTAATACATTTTAAAGTGTTTCTACACACAAACTTTGAAATTCTTATTTCCTGGCATGTAAATTATCTTGTGGGTTAATTTCACTGTTCACCATGGCAAATATGTTAGAAATGAGAGCCTTAATTTAACACATAACAAGTTTTATCGGTCTTATTTTTCGTGTGACTAGGTAAAATAAATAATTTCTGTTTTCTGATATGTTAGTAAAAATAAGAAGATAATGTAACTGTATATGAAGTGAGATGATATTGGCCAGTCAGTCAGTATCATTGTGGCTGTACTACGTCGCTGGAACTTCCTCTGTATATCCACCCCAATGAACCATATATTTTCTATTTCGCCAAATAATGTAAGAACCTGTATGTCTTAAAAGCAGAATGTATGGAGACGAGAGTTCACGAAGTAACCAAGCAACAACATATTCAAATTTAGAAAAAGGAAGCGGTCCATTCTGAAAAGAAAAAAAAGTCAAAATCTAAGTATACGATGAAGTAATCTTATTAACAAGAGATTAAGTATTTACGTTTGAGGAGGTGGAGTGTGGAGGCTACAGAACACAGAAGACTTTGAAAATTTTTTTATTTTTTTTGGGCTCGGCCTACATGTTTAACTATAAGAGATAACTTTAATAAGATAGCTGGATAAGTTAGACATGGATGTCTATCTATGACAAATGGGTTATCTTTAAACTATTACATATACATAATACCAATCTGTTTCATAGAGAGAGAGAGAGAAATGGGGTTTAACGTCCACTCGACACAAACTAGGTCATTTCGGGACTACTGTTTCATAGAGGTATTGTGAAATCCGTCTTATAACTCTGTATAAGATAACTGTAGCGACCTAGCGAATATTCACTGCTGATCAGTGTGACATAATACACCAGATCAGTATGATATATATGTACATGTATATAATATTTCAATGTTCCTTTTATGACAAATGGGTTATCTTAAAACTATTATTCATACATAATAATAGCCAAATACACTATTGACATAGACCACACTCATTCTAAATGTACACAAACGTTAATATATAATTGGTTAAATTCAGCTACTTTTACTGGTAGTCCCTCAATATTTCAGCACATGCAGCGATTGGTTGTACACCTCCTTTCTATGGATTCTCTTCCCAAGTAGAGAGAGAGAAATGGGGTTTAAAATCCACTCAACATGAACTAGGTTATTTCAAGACAATATGGTTCACCTTTACTTCAGTAAATCACTTGTACATTGAGATTTCTAGCAGTGGTAGGAACCGCGACAAACCCCATATGATGACCCATGAAAACAGTTTTGAATCGAAACTACAACAATTGACTTAATAAAAGTATGAATGATTGAAATGAGGCCAATGAAGACAGGGATATAAAACACAGTGAGCAATGAAAGAAATTTTGACAAGACAGCAATTGAATGACAAGGGTTCTTTTACGTGCATGCCAAAGTGTACACACAACCTCCCTTTTTTTGTGCCATCTGAACTACTCGAAGCTGTTCCTTCCCAGGAGCTCCCTCCTGCACAACAAGAGGAAATCAAGCTGGAAAATCTGGGGGATCTTTCTCAGCCAAACGCAGGGATCAAACCCGAACATCCTGGTTAGTGAGCCACTGTGGCATTAACTCAATAACAGTTCCTATGATTTAAAGCACACATGTTAGACACCCCCGCCCCCAATCATGAGAAATGATAGATGTCTCTTACCTGAACCATACAAAACATTACATAATCTAACAAGAACCAACACAACACATGCATAAGAAAAAATGCCATAGGACTGATATCAAATAAAAACTGAGCTGCCCAAGATCCAACAACACCCATAATCATACACTCAGATAGGGGCTCCAATAAAATAAAAGTAGGAATCATTGAAGCTCGTAGTGAGGCCCACCTGAAAAGACAGATTTAAAACAATGATTAATTCTCATAAATATTTATTTAAAAAAAGTGTTTAAATAGAAAATCAAGACTTTAATTATTATTGTAGCAATGATTAATGTGTACTTGACGATCAAGGGTATATTGTCAAAACCTTAAATACTCAGAATAAAGAGAGAGAGAGATGGGGTTTATTTCAATCATTCGCTTGCACAAAGGGGTCTTTATCAGTGGGAGAAAACCAGAGGACCAGCCCTACTCCTTGTCACGTACAACCTTGGAATCTAAACCACGGCAGTTGACTCAATGACAGACCTTATGATACAGCGCACACATGCAAACCATTTGGCCATCCAACCACCACCTCTCAGAATAAAGTAATTTGAATGAACTTTTCAATATGTTCATATTTCATTATCTATTTTAGAACTATTACAGCAACAACAGGCAGCTCTTTATCTAAATCTTACATAATGCATGTTTGTTGTAACACAGTATTAATATGCCTAAAGATGATAATCTATGGAATACAATTAGCCAGGAAATAAACAGTAATTATGTCTTGTTTTAAAATGTGTATCATATTTCCTAGCAACATGCTAAAATAAAGAATTTTTATAAAACAAATAAAGCTACATTACCTCAACATTCTTTTGTGAAAATCATTAATATTGTATGTTCCAGAATTTTGTAAAGCTGGTTGTGTGCAGAGAACACTTTTATAACCTCTAAAATAAAAGATGAATAAATGATTAATTCTTAACATAGTCAACACAACATTTGGTCATTGGGAGACAAAAACTCTTAAGTTCTTACGTGAGGGGACATTGAAATTAACCAAATACATTCACTAGGAATCAAATATAATATATAATTAATTCTGAAAACTGCCGTCTTATACAAAGATTTTCAAATATTATCTGATGTGAAAAACAATCTTGAGTTGGTTCAGAAGAGAAAAAGCTTAAATTTGTCCCAATAAGGATGATGATTTTGAAAAGCAACAATCAAAATTCTGTCATTAATGTGTGCTCAACCAAGACCTTGGGGTGTTTTTTTCTTTTTTTTATTAAAATAACCATCGTTTTCTTATAGGATGTCAACTCTTACAAATACGATCATAGAAATTGAGATTACAAGGGAAGTTATTCATATGATATCGCTATAATTCAAACATTATGAAGGGACATGACTGTAAATCACAATACTTTACTAAATATATCTAACATTGGACAAGTTACTCAGATTTATTTATGAGATAATGGCTATCTGTGTAAAAAGTATCAACAATCGTGTCAGGTCCCCTAATCCAACATTTCTGACAATGTAACAACTCAGTTTATAAATGGTATGAGAAAATCGTATGTTGACCAAATTGGGTCTTTCGATACTATTATAAATAAATCCTATCGTCAACATTTATTCTCTAGAAAGTCAAACTGATAAGGCACAAGTATAGTATGTTTTTTCTAGGCAATATAGTGGGCTAAAAGGCAAACAAGAATACAGCAATATATTAAGCTTTTTTTAGGGGGGGGGGGGGTAATATCGAAAATAAGGGCTGATATAAGAAAATAATATTTTTAATCCACCAAAAAACCTATAATATCACCCAGCACTAAGCCTGATTGCTAAATACTTACTGATTGCGGATGGCTTCTGCTATAAAATAATCCTCGGCTAAGTATTTACCAAATTCTTTTAAACCCCCAACTTCATCTATCAGATCTTTTCTAAATAACATGGACATACCAGTAGAACAATTAATACCTACAGCATTCGCACTTAAACAATTCCTAGCTTGCATGGTTCCAAAATATACCTGAAATTACAATAATGAACCTTATCACAAATGTTTGGATATTTTTTGTTCAGTAACAAGCCTGGTAATAAGGCTTCTGTCACAGACATTGTCAGGCATAAATTAAGGCTTTGTCAAGCACGATTCCTCCGGTATCAATTATATAGATGACTTTTTAAAATCAATTCCCTTAAATTAAAAATATTTCACAAATTTTTTATTCAAAATAAAGTATGGCTATGATATCTAAGACACAATAGTGATAATTTCAAAAACACATGAAAAACAAAGGCAAAATGACATCATGGATCACAAGACATGAACTGTTGCTCATCAGCCAAGAAAACAAAATTAGCCTAAGCAGGGCAATTGTTTATGTCTGAAATGTCTCATAATTTTTGACAATCAGGTTAGTGTGGGCTTTCTGTTAAGTACTGAACTTAAATCAAAGATAAGATATATTCGATATTATGATAAATATGCGATTTAGAACAGTTAAATATTATCTTTTATGTCAGTATTGACAGCCAATAACTAAAAATGTATAAAAAGGATTTTTTATCTAAAGTAAGTGACATAAAATCAACTAGGAAGTAATGTTTCATATCATATAAAAGTCAAATATAGGGCTATCGTTCAAAAATCTTATAACAACTTCCTAATTCATCTAAAATTCTATTTAATACTAAATGCTCAAGGAACATTGATCTGACTGAACACATTCTATTTTATCTAAACGAACAATACTGTGAATATGTCAAAAAACAACATTCACCCAGTGGATAGTGGTGTCTACTTTAAGACATTAAAAGACAACATCAATTCAGTAAGTCCAGTGGCTAGTTAATTTAACTTACCACATGACACCATCCAGCCAGATAAGTCCAGTGGCTAGTGGTATCTACCGGTAGTTTAACTAACCACTAGACAACATCCAGCCAGATAAGTTCAGTGGGTAGTGGTACAAGACAACATCCAGCCAGATAAGTCCAGTGGCTAGTGGTACAAGACAACATCAACCCCAATAAGTCCAGTGGCTAGTAATATCTGTAACAACATATAAACACTCTACACTGTGTCTTAAAATGAACACGAACTCACCTGTTCATAAACTGAAGCAAAACCTTTACGATGACAGACATAAGGCATTTGTAATACAAGACCCACATCTTTCTTTAAACATGATACCATATCTAATAGAGAATCCTTAGTCACTGAAAATAATACAGTACCATATCAATAATCACAGGAATATTTATCATATTAAAATATATTAGGCATTGGTCCTATATCTTCTCATCTGGACCTTCTACTCAATGGCCACTACCATCAACATGGTAAATATCAAGCTATTCGCATCAAGGCCAAATTTGTCCTTTGATTAGTTTCAGACAAGAAATATTATAGAAGATTATTACTGAACAGTTTACAAGGTTTTAGTCACAGTCATCTTCATCATCATATAATATGACAGCATTGTTCCATACTAAAGGAAGCTAACAGACCAAGATGACTAGTCTACTTTTAAAATCAGGAACGATACTGACAGAATAATATATACATGTATGCTTAATATTTCAAATAGTTATTGGTATTAAAAGGTGTAATAAATTTATGGAAGTTCATTGTTATGGTTATGTGTTAAATGCCTTTAAATTGCAAGTCAAAAGATCTTTCCGCAGAGTAAAATATCTCTATAGCATCATTAAATACTAAAAACAGTATTGTGAATTCCTTTAAATGCATCAACATGATTTTCTTTAAATTCATATTTCACCTACATAGCAGTTTTTTTAAATTTTATAATGAAGTATACTGCTTACTTTTTATACCACTGTCAGATATAAGTAATAAATTATGCTTGGCTGCTTCATATGCCCTAACCATATTATTGATTTTTCCATTAGGGCCAACATGTTTTAATCCTGAAATAACAACAAATTATTTTAAATGCCTGTAACACATGTTATTTAAATCATTTTAAAGGGAAAACGAGCCAGAGCAAAATTGTTTTTTTCATGTTAAAACCTAATTTTGACGTAGGTTGTCTTTGATTGCCTTATGCTACGAATTATGAATAAATATATCTAAAAGATTGAACGCGTTTTACAAAGGTATTTTTTCACTGTGGGCCTTTACTCAAAGTATCCATAATATATGTGGCCATGTAGGTATCTACCTCAGAAAAGAAGTTCGTAACTTGTAATAGAATGTTGTTTTTTTCTGAAAATAACGCCCACTTTGTTGCGTATTTGAATAAACATATCGGCATCATAAAAATGGTCACTAGGCCTTCAGACCACATGTACAATGTTTTAAACAAATTGAACAATAAATAATTTATCTTTACTTATCTAGGACCCCAAATGGAATAGATTGAGTGAACCATCTGTTACCCTGTACATATAAAACGCCATCAAAAAATAGTACACAGTACTATAAATAGTTGACCAGTTACCATAACAATAACTATAATTATTTTCTTACAGCAAATTTACGATTTAATATAATATGATATTACATGACCCAGTCAATATTATTTTATATTAAAAATATCATGCAGTTAATAAATCAATATATAAATTCTTGCTAAAGAAATGTTGAACTGAACGGGATTTGTTATAAAAATTCTAAAGCAGAGAGAGAGAGAGAGAAAAATGGGGTTTAGGGTCCACTCGACCCAAACTAGGTCATTTTGGGACTAACATATGGTTCAATTGTATTTCAATAATTTGATTGTACTTACTTAGGGGTCTTTAGCAGCAGGAGGAAACTGGAGGATCCAGAGAAAAAAAAACCAAATTCTAAAGGACTCAAAATATATTAATAATATGATGTGTAACTTACCTATAAATAATTTAACATCTGCTTTTGGATAAGTATCAATAAGACTTTTAACAACTAAAATAGCAGGATCGTTTTCATCTTGTACAGAAAATAAAAGTTCATACTGCAAAAATAAAAGTGTACATGTACATAAAAATCAGTTTATAAGGAAACAACAATATGTTGGAGTCATATTTTTTAGTCATTTCTAATACAAGCTAACAATGCTTGCTTAGCTATATAAATTAAGGATGTAAATTTCAATAGACCTATTGGGCAATAAACAGAACTAGTCTAGAATTGTGTCTACATGTACCTGACATGATGAAGATTTAAGATATGGGTAGGAGTAGAGAACTTGTATCCTAAAGATGCATTATGTAAGATTCAGATAAAGAGCTGGCCATTCCTGCTATATGTATAATAGTTTAAAAATAGATAATGCAAAAAGAATATATTGAAAATTTCATTCAAATTCTGAGCAAAGTTATCACTGTTTAAAATTTTGACAAGATGTGGCATAGATTGTTTATTATCATAGCAACGGTACGTTTTAATACAGATTTAGCCTCGATCCACCATTGTTAAATTAAATCATTTATTGGCGATCGTGTTTCAATCCATTTAAAGGGACAATAACACTCTTGCTGGCTTGAAAGCTCCAGAAAATAAATAATATCTCTATCTAAGTACTAGATGTTTAAGTGTCCTACCTGTTGTGTAAATTATCCATTACATCCTATTTTACTTGTCCAGAGGGTTCGAAAATATTTTTAAATCGAAGTTTCATTTGAAAAGGTTTACGTTAGACGTTTCAAACCATTACGTTGAATTTTTCAAAATTTTAAATAAGGTGTGTTAAGATGAAATTTGTATCATCAATTAATTGAAATATTCTAAAATAGTACAATTTATTGACCAGAATAAAGATTGGGACATATTATTCAGTTACAACAAGAGTGGTATTGAGCCTTTAAGATTGGGACATATTATTCAGTTACAACAAAGAGTGGTATTGAGCCTTTAAATCTCCACCATCTGATAGTCTATAGAGTTGATTACAGGCTTATCATGTGAATATATGTCTAAATAATAGCTTATATAATATTTGAAGTCAAAAAAGGTTTGCAATAGCCAGGTTTAGCTCTTACATGCACATAATGCATCTTTAATTTATGTTAATAAAATCAAAGATACTTACATTTGGGTATTCAAGTTGAAAAAATGTTTCTAAATTATGTTTTAAATTGGGATCAACTCCCATGAGAGGTTTGATTATTGAGACTCCTTGTATATCTTCTGGGGAGGGAATGTCGGGTTTTGAATATAAACGCCATTTTCTGAAAGATATAAATGTCAAAAATCTCAATGAATAAATAAAATATATGTTTGATATAACAGCAATAATACATGGAGTTGTAAATAAGCATAACCATATGACAACTCTATAACAATGTATCAGTACATACACATGTAACACATGAGTTCGCCAACCATAACAAATGACCATGGCTTCTTAGATAATATGATGATGATGAGATCAAATGAATGTTCAGACATTAACATGTAAAATTACTGTATACATGAGTGGTACATGTACATTAATGGGAGGATAGACATTAACATGTTAATTGCAAGGTTAAATTACTGTATACAGGTACATATTAATGGGAGGATAGACAGTAACATGTTAATTGCAAGGTTACATTATACATGAGTAGTACATGTAAAGGTATATACACAGGTAAAAAAAAAAAAACCAACAACACAATTTATATGGAATATAAATGTGCTCAATCACTAAATGCCACTCAAGGATTATATACAGCCCAGGTCTTTATATTATTATTCTGTGATTACAGTATGTACTCTACATAAAGCCTAGATACTCTAGTTAGTTCTAACTTTCAATTTTCAACTGTTCCAACTTTTAACTCCAAATCGAGCTGAATAATGATTACCAATATCATATGGATGAATTCCCAATTGTCTTATTTTTTGTCTGAGGTATCAATAAGTATTGTCTGTAAGTTTGGATAAAATGGTTAGTAGATTATTTAGAGGTAGTAAAGAAATGTCAACAGCTGTGTATACTGGCTGACTTTTGCAGCTACATGTATATATTTGTTTGTATGTTACAAAATACGCATAACAGGTACAATGTAGTATAGCAGGTAGTATAGCCGTAGATGTACACTGCCAAGCTAATAAAGCCATTACATTTCAAATGTAAATCTAATTACAATACATTTCAAGTGTAAATCTAATTAAAAAACATTACCATTAATTTCTAAATAGTGCTCAAAATTTTTATCTGTATGAATTGTCCTTTTAATAAAGTATCACATCAAGGAAAATTACAGAAGAAGGGGGATGGTGATAGAAAATGTAACATTGCAAATTACTAATTACAATCCTTGTAATAAATTTATGTTACACTAAAAGCTGATGGGTTTAGGATTACAGTAATCTGACTTCAAAATGTATCATATGTTTTGAAGATTAGGCCTTGAACTTGAATGTATAAAATGCTCAAGTTTGGCTCAAGCTTTGACAATTTATTTAGGTTCAAAATAAAGGGCAACATTTTAGGATAGGCTTTATTATCTATAGTATGTGACATACTGACAGTGACAGCTACTGTATGACTAGTTTCTACATGCTGTTGGCTGACATAAAAATAAAAATATCCTATTGTACAATGAAGAAACCATGAGAAAACCACAAAGATTTAGTTTTTAATCACTCTTATTGGATTGATAAATAGTCCGATAAATAGAAAAGCAACAACTTCTTTTCTGGATTGGATTGATGAATAGACCGAAAATGGATTAAGGGGTGAGGCTACCCGAAAAATGTTTCCTGAAATATTAAAGCTATTGAATTGAAAATGGCATGAATTGTTAGTAAATGTAATAAACAAGGGAAAACTAACATTAAAAAAAAAAGAAAAAAAATTGTTGCCAGGGTAACACATATTTTTGGAAAAAGTATGAAAAATGTAGGTACACTATATCTCTGCAGACTGCAGTAATAAAGATAAATGTCTCATATTCTTTAATGATAACCCTAAAACCAGACAAAGTTTTTATCTAAAATTTGTATAGTTTCTTGGAAAATGGTGTTTAAAACATTTGCTTCATCACAATATTTTGTCTTTGGAGAAATATTAATGATAATTCAAATTGCTATCTGACTGATTCTGTAGTGGATATTTGTTTAGATATCCTGCAAATTTGGTGAAGATATCTTAATTGGTTACAGAGAGACATAGTGTACCTGCGGAGATATAGTTTACCTACTACAGAGATATAGTGTACCTACATATACATTTTTCATAATTTTCCCCCCAAAAATGAGTCACCCTGACAACTTTTTTTATTGCTAGTTTTCTCTCATTTATTACATTTCCTATACACTTGTACCATTTTCAATTCAATAGCTTTAAAATTTCAGAACAAATATTTTGGGGTTGCCTCACCCCTTAAGTCAGTAAACTAAGGCAGATTAAGTAGCACAATAAATACGTTGATCACTTAATTACCTAATCAATCCAGTTATTTATCAACGATAATTGTGATGAGTAGTAGTTATACACTCAGTACAGACACAGTCCATATTTTTTGGAATTTTGAATATTATTCACCATATTTTGATGTCTGATTGGGCATATTTCTGTTGGAAAGTCACATTGGACATGTACGGAATCTATAATATGTGCGAAGTACATGTACAATCCCTGCTATAGGGCTTATGTAGTTCGGTATACAATACTCCTGAAGGTAATGTTTTCCTCTGTGAAATATCAAGCTGTTATACATGTCATACACATACTTAAATTCTCAGGCAGGTGTAGTGTACATACACTATGTACAATATAATAAGAGATGTAACAGCTAGATCAATGTACTATGCAATCTCATGAGTCCAACAATCTTTAAACAAACATCCATTGTTCACATTGCATATACCCACATGAGTCCTAAAAATAAAGTTTCTTTTTACAATTAAAAATCTCCTGAATCTGACATAATCTCAACAGATACATGTACATAAAATGTAACTAATAAAATCATAGTCATGTGACCTGCTCTTGCTAAATGTCCCTGAACCCCCCCCTCCCCCGCCAGCAGGGGGAAATTGACCCCCTCAAAAAAATCTGATAAAAAATATGTTATTGTACATGTAATAACTAGAAACTGCAAAATTTGTGGTCTGTAGCTTAAAAATTGACTGATAGTACAGGCATTTGAGTTTCATGAGTTATAAACTATAACACATACTTATGGAAGAACAATTACTGATTTATTTGAATGACGTTTCGAAGAGTATTCTCTCAACATTTTCACTTGCTTGAAAACGTTGAGAGAATACTCTTCGAAACGTCGCCCAAATAAATCAGTAATTGTTCTTCCATAAGTCTGTGTTATAGTTTATTGTTCTATCCAGTTACTAAATGCCTCTAAAAGATCATTTCATGAGTTACCACTAAGTTTTCGAAACAAAATATGTATCAATATTTTTACCTTTCTACTAGTCTAGTGAAGATATACCGCTCAAATTTGGAAGTGTTAAAGAACTTTTTTTGTAAATTACGTATCTGCAATCAGATTTTAGGTGAGTGGTAGGGTTCGCATGCTACTTGGCCATAAGAAACGAAAACAATTTGGTGTAATTGTATATTTTCTGGATTTTGTAGTGCTTCAGGAGCTACATAGATATAGACCCAAATCTTGGCCTATCCAGAGATTGCTGTTAGTACTACATAAGAAACATATGAAAACACATCAATCTTCACTAGATTCCCAGTTTGGTACATGTACATTATATTTTTTCCAGATTTTTTGGAGGGGGTCGATTTCCCAATTTCTGAAAATTGACCAACTTGACCCGGAATGACCCAGAAACAAGTAAATGCCACTTTCAAAAATTTGGAGTTTACAACTATTAGAATAATATTTCAATCCTCAAAGGTGAAAAAAGGGTATTTGCATTAATTCGCTGCCTTAAAGGTTCTTTTTACTTATTATTTTATAGTGAAATTTTTCTGAAAATTACAGGTACATGTAAATGTAATCTAAGGCACATTGTATCATCTTGAAACCTAAACATTTACACTACAACTGATTTTTCTTGCATAAACCTGATGACGATGATGACATAGAAATTGGAATTTATCAGTAATAATAAACTACATACCATTTACATTTGTATGTATGCAAGGGACTTTATTTTTAATAACATCCGAACAAGGCTGCTTTTTGGACTTATTATTACTAAGCAAAATGACAGAGGGTCAATAAAAAATTTCATTGTTGTAATTTTGAAAAAAAATTAATGCTATACCAGTACACGTATGTCAAATATATTTAGAAGATAAAAATACAATTAGGTCATACCCTTCATATGTTCAAGGATAGAATTCAGCATGTTTCAGATACAGACATGTACATGTAGACATGGCTGTGTGAATTCATTGATTGATTATATTTCATTTTACCAATAGTACCAATGGTATGGTCTTTGCTACATTTATAATTTACTAGCAGGATACCCGGCTTCGCTCGGGGGTCATAACTCCGAAACCGGAAGTGGTAGACTAACGCCACCTGGCCTATGTTACTCCCCGGTCCGAGCTACCCCTATCCCTCAAATTTCAGACTCGGGGCAGACCTAGTGTAGCCACCAACCCCGAACAGACAGACAGACAAACGACAGTCACAAATATATATATAGATGAAATGGAATGGGGTTTAAAGTCCAACTGTTCTAAATTTAAATACATACACCATACAGTGTGCTAGTATGAGGGAAATTTTGCCCGGACAGCGGCACTACAGCCAACTCGTACATCGAATTCCAGCTGTCAAGATTTCTTTATGTGCATGTGAATGGTACAAGGGACGTCAAGGGACCTCAGGTTTTTTTTTTGTCCCATCCTAAAAACTATATCTTTCCCTTACCAGGCCCTCCTCCGTAATACATCACTCACAAGGAGGAACCACACCAGAAAATCCCGATGAACTTTTACGGACACCACCAGGATTGAATACAGGACCACCAGGTTAGCGAGCCAACGTCTTATTCACTGAGCCACCACGACTCCCACATTTATTTGTACTACGAATGCGTGTTAGTAAAATGTTTGAAGGGATGTTTGACCTGTACGGAAAGACAACACTGCTTGAGGAAGAATGTCATTCCTACATGTAAATCAATCTATCTATATGTTTCTACATGACCACTTTAAAATGGTATGCTTCATAATCATATTTCATGCATTCATTTAGTTCATAAGATACATGACGTACATCATGTACTATGTAGTAATTTACATGTCTTATAATATATAGTACTTAGTAGTAAATCAATATACAATGTACCATTGGGAAACTTTGACCTGTAATGTATTTATTATTTATTAACTACATGTACATACACAATAAATAATGTAGATACATGTATGTACATGTGCATTAGAAAGATTAAAAAATTTATCAAGTTTTTACAAGATCAGACTCATTGCTAAATTTTGCACAAGAGAGACATTCCTCACAACACCAGCCATGGTGAATTGACGAAATCTTGCGTTGATAAACGAGATGGTTTGTTTTTAGCGACACTGACACGCACCGCGTGCTAGGGTTAGGGTTGGTCTAAAAATTCGGGTTTGGTCCCAAAATTCTGGCGTCATGTGCAATTTAAAGTGATTGACCCCGTGAGGAATGTCTCAACTGTGTTCAACTTTTCATTGCTTGGGGAACCATTTTCTACTATCATTAATTTATCTTTCTTCCCATGACCATATGCATCCAATGTCACACACATTGTAGAGACATCTAGAACAGTTTCTACAGTTTATAGAAAAACAATATCGGACATTTTTCAAAAACATTGATGTAGACAGTGGTGTCTGCAGTCCTTCACGTTTATAAAATTGTGTGGGAGCCATAAAAAGCTCCTGCCTCGATTTCAAAAATGGGGAAAAAAGCTCCCTCAAAAAAACTCTTCTTAATTATATTGCAAGAGTAATTCCACACTTTGTTGAATTAAAGGAGCTAAATCGCTAATATTTTGGACCTAGAAATTGGCACAAATGGGTCGCAACACATATAATAATGTAATATGAATTTATATCAACTGTTTTACATTCAATCGTGTCCGTTTTACTGTGAATTGTCATCAGTTATGTTCGGCGAAATACACCAGAAGTCTCAACCGCAAGTCAGTTTCTAGCGTCTGGTTATTCCAGTCAACGCCGATATTATTTATTGCGCATGCTCTCCAAATAAGAATATGATATCACCGTTTGACATGACTTGTGGAATATGTCTAGCCTCATTCTTTGAGCACCTTGTTACAAATGGCGCTGAAATGCATTATGGTACACGATTCGTGTACCAATGGTAAAATGTTTATTTTGTCTTAAATATTGGATATCAGAAGCCCATCTTTACCGGTAAGATCACAACACCAACGCTGATTTAAATTGCAAAATAATTCGTGTTTTCAATGTCGAAGATTTTGGATGATATTGAGTTACGGACTTAGCTACTTTAAGGAGAGCCAAATTTTATTTATGCTTTAGTCTTGTTTAACATTTTAATATTTGGTGAATATGTTTGGTAAATATGGTAACCACAGTATTATTATCATTGAAACGTATGCAGATTAAAAATAAACAAAAACTGAAAGTAGTTTATTAATCAATATTTAGGAGAGCAATTTTGCTAATTTGCAGGGGTCTTTAATCACTCCCGCGAAGGAAAGTCGAGGTGCGTTGAGAGGAGCAGGAGCAAAAGCAAATAGGAAGGACTGGTTCCTGGCTCCATATACACGTCAACAAAAAGCCATTCTCAGTTCTCCAATAAACTCACAGAGAAAGTTTTAAAAAAAATTAAGTCCTCTGTACATTGTACAATCTCACCAATTTCAGAAAATTCAATTGGGGAACTATAGATGTATGTTCTGCATACATGTTGTCACATATGGAAACCAAAACTAAACCAGGAAATACTGTACAATGTAACCCCTTTAACAAGCCATTGCAAACTTTATTCTGTATCATGTTCCTAGGATCTGAGATGATGACACATCTATGAGGACAACATTGTACTTGTATACTGTGACCTTGGCTAAAAACTATTTCAAGTTGATAAAATTTGTCACTATGAGAGATACTTACTGATATTTCATGGTTCAGTGCTCACAAACATGTACAGTAGTAGTCCTGAATATGAATCAACTAGAATGTAGTGTATATAATTATCATATTCTCAAGTTGGTAGTCCAGTCCACATTATACATTATATATTCCAGTAATATCACTCACTGTACAGAACACAGAGAGAGAGAGAGAAAGAGAGACTTTTAACGTCCAGTCCACTCGACACAAACTAGGTCATTTTGGGACTAACACATAGTTCAATTTTATTACAAAAATTCACATACGCCTAAGGACGGTAAGATTCTTTAGCAGTGTGAGGAAACCGGAGGATCCGGAGAAAACTCACCAGGTTGGACAGGCGACCCTACACCTTGTCACATACAACCAGGGAATCGAAAACCAGACCTTCTGATTGAACGACCACACGCTAACCATTCGGCCATCCAACCCCCCTGTATACCATACGTGTATTGTATTGTACACTGTTCTGGTACATGCTAATTGTTAAATTTTCTTTTTATTGGTGAACATCTCTACATGTGTATCTGACACCAACTGTCAGCCCACCCTAAAGACATTTCTAATTCGATATGCTGAACTAAATATTTCACTTAGTTCAAATGTGATTATACATGTATGTATATCTCAGTTTGCGATGTACTGTGATACTTGTATACATGTACACTGGACAGTTGACTGTCTCCATGTGAAATTGAACATCTTCATACAGATTGTAATTTAAACAATCATTAAATATGTTTATTTCTCCAGGCCAATACTGAAAAATGCATTTTTATTTTCGATAAGCTTATAAACATTGTACAAACGTATATATGTACATGTGTACAAGTCAGAGTGATTTTCACCATTTAATACTAATATGTACAAGTCAGAGTGATTTTCACCATTTAATACTTACGACTAGTTCTTGCATTTTTATATAATTTGGTGACAATATCGAATTATATGTATTCAAAATTAATCTCATTTCTTATCCTGTTGAGTGATATACTCATATAGGCTTTTCATTTATTATTTTAAATCTATAATTCAAAATAAGAATCAAAAACAATGGCCTGATACATGTATACATAGTTTGCAATAATTCCTGTGGATTCTGATTTACAGCTTGATAAATCTGTTATTTCACAGGACAAACTTAGGGGGTCCAGAGGTCGCAGTCACGCAAAAATCTGCGTATTTCACACATTTTTTTCAAAATAAACACAAATATTGACGGACACTGCGTAATTTACACGCAGAAAATTTCCCTGACGTACGTGAGAATAATTAGATTATTCTATGTCGTAGTTTGTACAATTTATGTGCTTCACTCGGCATTTACACACCTCTACTGCACGTAGTCTCCGTAGTTTTTAATATTTTCTCTTATTTCATTCATAAGTTCCTGGCAGTAAGCCTACGTAGCTATCCTATTGTAAGCAATAAAGCGCATTTCATACAAGACTTGGGACTGGGTAGAACACGATATACTGTTTACATTCAGCCAATCAAATGTTGGCTTTCATAGCGATAGTTTTCTCTTTACGTCCTGTCGAAGTGAAAGATTCGAACGACTGTGCCGTCATAGATGGATTAGTTCTATGGTGCCGTCAACCATAGACATGCCGTTAACATCCAGTCGTCATTAGACTAAATACAGTAGGCCTATCAATGAAATAAGGACGCTCAAAATAGGGTTGTTCACAAAACAACTTTACATGCTTCTATATTGAGTATTTTGAGAGGCTCTAAGTCACGCAGATGTAGAGGGCAAAAACGCAAAATTTTGGAATGTCTGCGTATTTTTACGCAACTCGAAATTGATCCACTGCGACCTCTGGGTGGGTCCCAATCACATTTGCTGAATCTGAATAACAGTCCAAAAATGATTCAATTCCATTTTAAAAGTATTTACAAAGTAATGATGAATTGAAATTTTGTCAGCATTGGGGATCCAGTTCCACAATATAAATGTCACAAGTCAGCACCACATAACTTATTAAATGCAACTGCTTATTAAGTAATGATAAATGGGGGAAAACTAAGGTAATTACTATAGGTTGAAATATTGTGGCATAAATCTTCCATAACGCTCCAAAAAAATTGTTATAACCCAAACTAGTAGGACTATCACATTGGCACATTCGATTCTTATTCTTAAAGTACTTATCGAGCTAATGTCTCATCAATAATCTTTTCAACGCCCCCGGGCTGAGAATCTAGATCAGTTCGGTTGATCCAAGAATCGAAATATACGCCTGCCTGCCACTCCCTCACAACGGGGAATAGCGTTCTTATCACAAGACCACGAGAGGCCGAAGTACGTTTCAGTCCTATATTAATATTCTTGTCGGCACGATCCGACATGAAAAATGAGATGACTTTATTTTTTGTTGGGATATCATATAGATCCAGATCTACTTACCCATAAACTAGAGCAATTAAAAATATAATCCAATCAAACATCCATCCTCCGAATAATCCTGTTGCAAGTATAGTTACCAAAATCAAAGCAATTGACATATCGACATCATGCCCTCCCCGTTTATATCGTCTGACTCACAAAATAATATGTTCACCTGAATAACAATACTCAAGAGCGTCCGCGCAGGCGCTATAAATTGTCATTTGAGCATATATTTGAGTTTGTAATTAATGTTAAAATTTCACCACAACTTGATCATTATTGTTACAGATTGTCATGGCAATGACGAAAGTAATTGTAAAAATCTTCAAGAAATTCCAGAAATACAGCTTATGCTTATACTCTGACAATAACACAAAAACATATGCCTTTGAAACAAAGAATTCTCCCTATCTCTGTAACCCATGACCTGTGACCATAGAAATATGGAGGAAGGTCGAAATAAAACTACCGTGTCGGTAGCCAAAACAATAATTTATATAAAGGGGTTTATCCAAGAATTAGCGAAAAAATCAAGCTACCCAGCAACAGGGGCTTGATGATAGTGAGTTTGCGAGTGCAGATACTCGTGCGCCACTTGATTATTTGTGCCTCTCTTATTTTTGCGCCACTATAGCCTAATTACTACTAGTTAATACGAATGTAATAGTAGATCTAGGCTAGCCTAGATGATAAAAAAAAAATTATTTCGCAAATGCATAGAATTTTGCCAAAGAAACGAAATAATGTTGAAGAAATTTAAAAAGGAAAATAGAGTCACATGCCGGCAAATTTCCATTTTATACCAGTATACTAGGCACGTTATGACATATGCATATAAACCTTCAACATATGTTGTTTTCTTATTTAAACTTTAACTAATCAATTTGAATACTTTACAGAATGAAAAATTAGATATTGTCCGAACAAGAACAATCGTGCTATGAACCAGGAACTGACCATGTTGTTGGATGAAATTCAAAAATCTAATACACCAAACTGTTCAAAGAACAAACATGCGAATTTTCATGTTGATCAGATTTGAATTGACCCAGCCTTAGGCTTTTTCAAAGAGTGTCACCCCAAGAAGAAGAACAACAACAAAATAAAAGAAAAACAAAACAAAACAGATCTGACATTATCTACTGAAAATGTAGATGTATTGTCAGAATTGGTGAATGGATAAAGCGAAGTCAAACATCCTATCCTTAGGATGCACCCAAATACATAATAATAATTACATGATCTTAAAATCCACCAAGTCAAGAATAGTTGCGGAGCGTGAAGAAGACTTTTTATTAGAATGATAATTTAAGGTGACCATGGTTTACCTGACTCCCTTTTATTTAGGATCCTGAATGGCCAGAGTCACATCATCAACCATGCATGTCAATAATAAATACATTTTAAAGATGGTTTATGTAATAGCTAAATCTTCCTATTGCAGCTTCAAATGTTATATAAACTGTTATTTAGACATTTATTAACATGACAAGCCCAGAAACAATTCTCTAGGACATCGGATAGCAGAGATTTAAATGGATTAGAACGTCTGCGAGATTTAAAATTTTATCGATAAAATGGTTTATGAATAGTTTGTTTCAAACAGATCCTTTCGCAGTTTCATGTAACAAGAGAAGCAAACAAACAGAGGCTGATGAAACACACCAAAATTTTCATTTTTGAGCTGTGTTACATTGTGTTTTAAATCACTTAGTAACTTAGTTTACTATGATTTATCTAAATATACTATTCAAAAAAAGTAGGGGATATTTGATTTTGGGGGCATAATACTAAAATATGCAAATGACTACGAAAAAAGTCACTATAGAACCTAACAGAAGAAACATTTCCAGTTACATGTGACGCCCAAACGCACCAATAGCTACCGCATGGAATGCAGGTGATGCTTGGGATCATCATGGGGGTCCAACCCAAGATTTGCACGACTCTGACTTTGAATGTTACAGTCATTGTGGCATTGAATTCCAGGGTGGAAACATCAGTTTAATTGTTTTAGTGACCAGAAAACAAATTTTGATATGCGTCGGCTTACCCAAAATGAAAGGTTACGTGCCCTTGGTATGCTACAGATCGGCACAACACAGGCGGTTGTGGCGCGGACGATGAATGTTTCTCAGTCTGTCATAAGCAGGCTATGGTCCAGATACCGTGATACACAATCTGTACAGGACAGACCACGCTCAGGTCGACCAAGGGCGACAACTCAAGCCCAGGATCGATTTATCCATACCTTGGCCTTGAGAAATCGTGTCATCACAGCAAATCAGATCAGCGCTCGTCTTCAAACAGACACTGGTGTGAGAGTGAGTGGCCAGACGATTCGGAATCGACTGCATAGGGGTCACCTTCGCGCCCGACGTCCTCGCGTGATCCCTTGTTTGAGAGATCATCACATTCAGGCAAGACGTCGTTGGTGTAGGGATCGTCAACACTGGGATAATCGACGCTGGAGCAATGTGATGTTTTCAGATGAGTCAAGGTTCACTGTTGATTTTTTGGACAGACATAGGAGGGTGTGGCGTCGTCGTAACGAGCGCTTCCAAGACGTTAACGTCATCAGACATGATCGATTTGGGGGTGGTTCTGTTATGGTGTGGGGAGGCATCACTGTTGCTGGAAGAACGACTTTACATGTTGTTGCAGGGCGTGTTACAGGCCAGTACTACCGGGACAACATCTTGGTAGTCCATGTTGTGCCGTTCGCACAACGTCATGGCCGCCGTTTCATCTTCCAGGATGACAACGCAAGATGTCACAGGGCCAGGTTCGTTACAGGTTACCTCCAACAACAGAACATCACCACATTACCTTGGCCAGCACTGAGTCCCGACCTCTCCCCCATCGAGCATGTCTGGGACATGCTTGGACAGAGGTTACGTCAACGTCAACAACGTCCTGCCAATGTCCAAGAACTTGCTGCTGCGTTGCAACAGGAATGGGACAATCTGGACCAAAATGACCTTAGACGTCTCATTAGGAGTATGCCACGTCGGATCAATGCTTGTTTGGCAAACAGAGGAGGATTTACCCGTTACTGACTTGGTTGTGATGCTGTGGTAACTTTGCTGTTTGACTCGGGTATCATTTTACCCTTATTATGGTCAGTCTGTGCCTTACTTAGTCTAACGATCATTTGGAATAAATCGATGAATGTGAACTTCATTTCATTTTGTCATTTGTTTCTTCGTCAGTTTCATTAGGTGACTTTAATAACACTTAAAAATCAAATATCCCCTACTTTTTTGGAATAGTATAGTAGTTAAAGGGAGATAACAATCATTAACACAATTGTTTTAAATTTGATGTGAAGCAGTGTGGTCACTACTCGGACAGGCCCGTAACTAGGGGGGGGGGGCTTAGCCCCCGCTGCAAAAAGTTTCGCCCTCCCTGTGAAAAAATTTTCAACCATAAAAAAAATAGATATACATTGTCCGTCAATATTACAGCACCCCTGAGAACACTTCCCGCCCCCCCTCATTGCTCTGAGCTAGTTACGGCCCTGGGTCATGAGCAGTTGAACCATATCTCCCGCTCTAGAGTTACACCCCAGTCCCCTTGCTGAAAACCTTGTGAACGTGATAGACACTATAGTCTTTTCAGTCTTTGCGTGAAGCAGTGGGGTCATGAGAGGTTGAACCCTATTGATAATTAGTGACCTGTTCTGGAGTCAAAACATTTTTTTACCGAAAAAATGTGTGGGTGTGTCAGTCCAGATTCCAGAAGACCCATAGTCTTGAAATTTCAAAACTGTACAAAGAATAAGGCAGAAACAGTGATTATTTTTTATTTAAAGTTACTGTGTTCAAGAAAAAAACATTATGTTAAAACATTTTTATGTCATTATAATATGTATCAAGAATAATTTGTTCAATCCAACAATCCAAAACTTCACTTAATGATTTCACAAAAAGGCAGAAAAACTAACTAAATATTAATCAATTTAATTAAAAATATATAAGGATGCTAATGCATTAAAAGTATTTAAAAATTATACAATTGATAAAACTAGGTTATAAGATACATGTATTGAGAAAATTACTCTAAAATCTTTGGTATACTATTCATATAAGCTTACACAAATTACACTAACTTTCTACCAGACTAACGAGACATGGGTGGGAATCCATTATTTTAGTTCAAATTTTCAATTGATTGGTACTATTGAGGGAAGACTGTAATTAAATGGGTGTTTAAAGACTGCTTTATATTACAAGTAGATGATTTATCTCAGTGACTTAAATTTGCATTTGTTTTAACTTGAAATAATTCTGTAGGCTGCATCATTAATACTACCCACGCCCGTTTGTTCAACTTATTAAATCTAATGTGTGGTTAATTATCACCTTGCATTATATATTTAACAGGTCGTTACTCAATCTGTGTTTAAATCTTTTAACCACTTCGTTATATTAAACCATCGTTCAATATAGCTTCCCTAAGGTGGAAAAATGGGAGTGGTATTTTTTATAGAAAATTTGTTTTTTATGTAATTTGAAATTAATTGTGTTTCAAGCTTTCTCTAGTTTTGGTGCCACCATAGTGACGTTGCTACAGGCGCAATACTTAAGGTTAGACAATCTCCTTAGTAACACAAATCTGTGAAATAAAATGTCAAGTTTATTATGTCAAAAAGATCGGTTAAAATACTATTGCACTCATAAATATTTAAAATTAATTCAGTGGTCTAAATATGCTGATTTGAGCAGATGAATTAATCAATATTTATCTTTCATTTGAGCTAGGCTAAAAAGAAACATAAACAGCATTGTAGTGTCATACAAAAAATATAGGCCCACAAGCAGCATTTTGAAGGGTGGTCATTAAGGTAATAACTGGGCATACAATCAATAGATGATTCTGAATTTCGAAAAGCTTCCTCTTAATAATGAGCTGAACAATTCCAACAAGTTTGAAAAAAAAAACCTCTGTAGAGCTTTACAAGACTTACGACAGGTGCAGTAACTCTACAAAATTTTTTTCAAAACCTTAATCTTAATAGGGTTGCTCTTTAAGACTAGCAAAACAATCCTGGCCAGTTGGAATTTGTAATTCTCCAAATCTCTGACCTGTACAGACAGCATTAACAAGAATTGTGTGTGGACGGGCATGGGTGACGACAATGTACTCCAGCATGAAAACGTAAAAAAAATAAGAAAAAATCATGTTTTTATTGTGATTACTAGCTTTAAAAGTTTCATAAAATATAAGTGATAATAAATATATAACAAAACTATTAATCAATAAGAAACTCACAGCTACTGATTATTAAAGGATGGAAAGTTAAGGATGGAAATAAAATCTCAAATATCAGGAGATTTTTAACCTTAGATAGTTTCTTTCACTTAAAACAAACCTTTGAAATTTCCCCAAAAAAACATAGGACATAAATATTCTGGTTTTCAGATATAAATGGCTGAATGACCTGATTCTATTTAAAAAATTAAAAATCATTTTCATTAAATACCTTATGTAATTATTATCTCCCAGGTGGTAGTGCTTTGAATTCTGATGTTTGTGATAAGTCATTTAGCCACATGATTCTTTGACAAAATAAAATATACAGAAATAACAACCTCCTTCTTCCCCACAAGATTTTTTTTGAAGAACATTTTTTTTTTGTATGGCCTTAGAAAACATTAATAATGTTGACATTGTATAATATTATATATTTATTTAAATCTTATTCATAAATATACTGGTAGTCATATAATATTGCAGGATTCCAGTTTCTGCTCAAAATCTAACCAAGGATATGACAACTATACAATACACAAATTATGAGCTTTTAAATATGCAAAACTTAATATAAGCGAAACAAACATACAGTCAATTGAAATATAAAGGCAGAAAAACAAAACCTTTCAATTTCTATAGTTATCACTAACGTTATACACTTGAAATGTTTTCTTTTTTATTAATATACACCTATTACAAAAATCTTTAATTTCATGCTGAAGATGCTTTCCTGCAAAAAGTTTCTAAATAACATGATTACAATCAACCACAAAATCTGTTACTCCCCAATCTGATAAAAGTACAGATCTATATTTCATTACATGGTGTAGTAAAGACAAATTTTAAACTATGAAAATGAAATAGGATCTGTGTTTAATCAGATTGGTTACTCCCAATTTGGCATTTGGTAAAAAAACAGAGCAAATGTTATTGGTGGAGATATATATGAACACAACGGTTTTGTTAAATTGGTTCATGGAAATAAGAAAGCCATTTAAAACCTCCCAATCAAATTGTAAGACATATGTATAAATATATATATATATATATATAAAAGTTAGAGGAAGATCAGTGAGTGGAGATCTATAAGTGACAAGATTATTATAATATGAGTGGTTACTATTGATTACTTTTAGCTCATAATAAAGTTTTTAGAATTGATAAAAGTACTATTAAATTTTGAATTCCATATTATAGTTACTAGAGAAGTCAAAAGGTAGTATCTGTTGTTTAAGGGCCGTTCCCAAAAAAACATTTATTATCAAACCAAAAAGGTTGTATTTCTATGATTAGTTATGCATCTGTTGCAATTTCTGTTGAGCCTTTACCCAGATATCTATGAAATTCAAGTATTAAAAGGTGAATCTGTTTAGCCTGATAAGTGCGGATAGCTAGTACAGGTTTTTTTAATGGCTATAAGTACATTTTTAATGAAAATATTTCAAAACGTATTTAGAAATACAACAATAATTCAATATTCAATAAATTCAATTAATAAAATATTTCATTCTTTTTTTAAACGATGATCAATATTGAAGAATTAAAGCTAACCAGGTCAGCAGTTCAAAAACAGAAAATTAACATGTTCTATTAAAGCTAATTATATTAAAGATGCACTATGTAAGATTTAGATAAAGAGCTGGCCGTTCTGGCTATAATAGTTAAAAACAAGCGGTTACCATGCAAGATATGCCCATATTTTCCATGAGATGGACAGAGAACAATTTCATACAATCTGGGGCCATAATCCAGGATGTTACAGTCAGACATGCATCAATATCGAATGGAAGAGAGATCTTTGGGATATAAACATATATTTTAGGTTTCATCAAAATCGGTTAAAAATTGTGACCTCTATTGTGACTTGTTACATACTTTTACACTATTTGCGTTCAAGGTGCAGTCAGTTTTAATCCAATTTCAAACTCAACTGTAATTGTGGTGTAACAGTGATTTATTTGAACGGTTTTCAAAATCAAACTAAATTTATGACCTCCTATAATCATTTATTTCAAGTTTTGTCAAAATCATATGAAAATTGTGGCCTGTAGAGTGTCCACCAAAAAATGTGAATGGACGGACAGAGGTGACGACATAATATGTCCACATGAAAATGTTGGTGTTTAAAAAGATAATGAAAAATGAATATTTTTAAACTTTCATTCAAATTACTTTATTCTAAGCGAAGTTATCACTTTTTGACATTTTGACAAGATGTGGCATAGATTGTTTATTATGGCAAGCTTTTTTCGATCCGTTTAAATCTCCCCCATGTTGTGATCTAGAGAGTTGATTATAGGCTTGTCATGTGAATAAATGTCTAAATAATAGTTTATATAAAATTTGATGCCAATATAATGACCTGCAATAGGAAGATTTAGTTCTTACATAATGCATCTTTAAAAGACAGAGCCATGATAATAGATTCCATAATAAATGTATTTACACAACAAATTAATTTTATACATAACAAATTAATTATATATAAATAACACTTTGTATAGGTTTTCAAAGAAAATTTGGAAATCACCAACCATATTTATAAAATAAGAGTTAGAACATTTTAATTCTGAGGTGTCCTGATGTGTTTTCAAAAAGATAATTTGAAAATACACCCAGAATATACAACAGAACTTGAATCCAATGCCCATGCAATATACATATATATATAAAGAAGATTAAAACAATAGATTATAAAATAACAAAACCTTGATAAAATAAATATAGTATAACACTAGACCAAAGACAATAGTAAATAGTATATATATCATTTCTATTACGAGGGCTGGCTGAAAAGTTCTAAGCCTACCTGTGAAAGACCTATACAGAGTCAATGGCTTCCGCTTCGAGGTAAACACATTTTTTTCAACGATGGCTGTCAGAAAAAAATTTTTTTTAGCCACCCTAAAAATGTCGTTCACAGCTGACATGACATCATCTGGCCAAAAAAATATCAAGATCTGCTTCAAGACAGTGCAAGTCAAAAGCTTTGGCACCCATCTTTCAGAAACTTTTGCCATTACAAACGCGATAATGTGCTCAACCCTTTCATGAGAGATGCCCACTGGCAATATTTTGAGTGGTGAATCATCAATCAGCCATCACCATGGGTTTTTTTCGAATTGTTGCTGTTTATGGCCTTCCTGGACGCGGGTCATCATAAAGGCTCTCTTAGCCATGCTTAAATTCTGCAGTCCACTTCTTTACTGTGGAAAAGGAATGGGCATCATCCCCTAAAGTGGAGGCCATGTTGGCATGTATCTGTGTTGGGGTTAGTCCTTTCAGTTGTAGGTGCTTGGTGACTGCACTAAAAGTTGCAGTTTTGTCCATTTCTGGTGATTTCAATGGGCAGATTGTTTATCAGATGGTCTGGTACAAAGACAATAATAAAACTACATAGTTGCAGTATTTATGTCTATGATTCATTCAATGATTGTACTTGTTGGTGGCAAAAGTTTGTTTCAACCCAACTGATCTATCTTTTTCAGGCTTGGAACTTTTCAGTCAGCCCGCGTACACTCAAACCATTTTAAAAAAACGCTAAATTATTTCTAAACTATATAAATGATATCATCACTACCTCCATTTTGTCATACAAAAATAACAAAATAAAACCTACATAATACATGTTTATGCGTGTATGTATATCTAATTTTAAAAAAAAGAGTAAAGAATATTGAAATTATTCAGTAAAATCACCAACTACAATAATCAAAACCAATAACTTATATATACGTGTATATAAATATAGAAATGAGCAAATCTAATAAATAATCATAAATATTATAGAGGAATATGTCATACACAGACAAATGTATCACAACTACAATGTATATTCAAAAAATAAGAATTCTAATAATTTAGACAAACTAAAAGGAGTTCAATCTAATAATTTAGACAAACTAAAAGCAGTTCAATCTAATAATTGATGTGCACAAACAATTTATTCATATCCCTGTTCTTAGCATAAAAATATTAAAAATGTTGATTGATAATAAAATATTTGTGCATCTCATTTTAGCAATTATTTTGGCTAAGGAAATAGGTATCTACATATTTGTCAAATTTTTGAGAACATAAATGAAAGCGAAGCCCAAGGAAAAATAAATTAACATGGGACTTTTCATTATTTTGTACATGCTGTGGACAAGCTACAGTTCTAGATATATGCCCTAAATTCTCTAAATATTGTCAAATATTTGAAAAAATAAATTATCATTTAAGGAAAAAAATACTCATCCTTAATATCATATATATGAATGTTCCAGAATTATGGATGCCCTAAATCCCTACAGATCTTTATGAAAAAAATTTATAAAGTAAGGGAATTTGTGAATATGTTAATAAGTATAATTTCCACTCAGTGCAAAATATGGGGCCCATGTATTGTACTCCCTGACTAGGATAATTATCTGGATTACTGTTTATACATATAATTTTAGGTTGTTGAGGTTGAATGAATAAGGTATGATGTTATCTTAAGACATGAAAGAAAGGGCACAGCAGCCCCAAACTTGTAAATGTCCTATCACTAGAGTAATTAATACGGAACGGTTTTACAAATTACCACCACCAATCTAAAACCTAAAAAACAAAATAATGGTGTAATTCAGACTTAATATTAACCACACAAGTGACTTTCAACCAAGGATTATCTTAAAATCATCGCCCTCGCAATAATCCAGCCTTGTGAAGATGAGGTTGTAGTGGAGGGTTGGTAATGAGGACTATTATGTATATTTTAGCCCCTGCTTTGGGGAATATGATTCTATAAACAATGTTGGATATCATTAATGAGGACTATTATCAATCAGTCATGTTCAATAAACTACACATAGATCTATTGGAAGTTTCTGATTTAAGATATAAATCGTCTGATGAAGGTGATGAGGCAATACTATAAAGTGAAGACTTATGTTTGAGTTGGGAACCTTCTTTATCAGGATCACCACGTAAAAAGGTTTGTAATCTATCAACACAGGCTTCCTGGTAATCATGTATCCACCTGAAAATATAAAACATATCGTAATAGTAAATACATAATGTAGTAATACACAATCTAGTACATTGTAGTAATACACAATCTGGATGTGCTATAGTAATACACAATCTAGCAAATATGTAATACACAATCTGGTATATACACAATCTGGTACATATACAATAAAGTGATACACAATCTAGTACAGTGTAGTAATACACAATCTGGATATACAATATAGTAATACACAATCTAGCAAATATGTAATACACATCTGGTATATACATAATCTGATACATATGCAATATAGTAATACACAATCCAGTACATACACAATGTATATACAAAATGGAAGCTTCAATTTACTGTTCTTAAATATGTTCCTTATCATATTGAGGTTTAACTATAACATAAAGCAGGGATCTGGTAGTAAACCCTTTAAATAACATCAATGTTACAGCTGTGTTCATTCAGTAATGCTCATTAATTTTGAAATCAGCACTTTTGGAAGTGTTGGCCAGCTGGTAAACAATAATTTTTGATTTAAAATAATTTGACTATGGTTATTTTAAATGTCATATTATTCAAAAATACAGTTAATATTCTCATTGTGAAAGTAATTATCCTTTTTAATTCAGTCAAAAACAGTTTTCCAGATAAAAAGCCATGTATTAGTGTACTCTGCATAGGTTAGAGTTAACTCAATATTTGGGAGGTAAAACCACTTAATGGCAATCTTTAGGCCTGTGTATACAACAAAATTAGTAGAAATTTCCAAACTCAAAATCAGATGTCACTCAACAACAGCTTTATCCACTGATAAATCGCTAAAATATCAGATCTGTCACGGCTTCAGATTGATTATTTAACCTTTAATTAAAAAGACCAGCAGCTGCCAGACAGGATACGCCCACATTTTCGAGAGATGGATAGAAAACAAGCTAAAACGAAAAATTTTTTTCCTACAATGAAGGGCCATAATTCAGGAAATTACAATTCGATATGAGCAAATATCGAAAAGAACCAAGATCTTTGGGTTATAAACTTACATTTCAAGTTTCAACAAAATCGGATAAAAATTGTGACCTCTATAGGGTCCACAACCTTGATATACCATATTTTTATGCTATTTGAGAACAAAGGGTGGCCATTTTGTCTGTCAGTTTTGGGCCGATTTCCACGAAATTCAAACTCAGCCGTCCTTAGGGTGTAACGGTGATATATTAACACGTTTTTTTAAATCGGATAAAAATTATGACCTCTATAGGGTCTACAAGCCAAAAAACGTGATTTTTCGTTAAATCAGGGGCCATAATTAAGGAAGTTACGGTCCGATATGCGCGAATATCAAAAGGAACCAAGATCTTTGGGTTATAAAATTACATTTCAAGTTTCAACAAAATCGGATAAAATTTGTGACCTCTATAGGGTCCACAACCTTGATATACCATATTTTTACACTATTTGAGAACGAAGGGCGGCCATTTTGTCTGTCAGTTTTGGGCCGATTTTCACGAAATTCGAACTCAGTCGTCCTTAGGGTGTAACAGTGATATAATAATGTGGGCGTATAAAAACAAAATCAAAATACCAATGCTGTATAACCACCTGGCTTGGATTCAATCGGATTAAAAACAAGCCTTATAAAGTTTGTTCTTCCATAACAAAAAGGCGGTTGGCTTACTATTAGCAAGCAGCATAGATTGATGAAATCTCATTTCAAAATATCTTTGTAAACTCAATATTGAACCATTTTAGGGCTGATATTCCTGTTAGAGATTCATCTTTCACAATATTGTAGTTTGGAAGTGATTCCTATTGCGCTAAAATAACGCAATGAGAATGTAATGAATATAGATTTTCATCTAAAAAAATTAAACAAATCCACTACATTTTTTTTTTACACAAATTGAGTTTTCTTTTAAGGAATTTGAAAAATAAAACTTACTTGACACTATTAAAGCGAACAACAGGATGCATGTCCATAGGTAATTTCTCTAATAAAGGCCAATTAAAGTTATCCATTACAGGTATAATGTTACAATTACTTTCTAATGCTGCCACAATTTCCTGTAATAACAAATATGGTACATATTATAAATATCACACGGATTACGGCAAGGCTCTTGTTTCAGCCATATCAGCCAGTCTTGACTCGCAGTAAAGTTAACTGGCAGGAGAACTTACCTCTCAGTCAATTTTACACACATAAAATTAGATTTTCAAAGAATTTAACCATTTTCCACAATAAGCCACAATAAATAGGGTGAAGTTGGTGGTGGTGGGGGGGGGGGGGGGGGGGTACTTGTAAAAATTGATAATGACAGCCAATACGTGTATGTAGCATGGCAAAGTATTTTTAAAATGATATATTTCTAAGCAAGGTTTTGGACCCTGTGCACCACTCTCTTTCTAGTTCAAGTCGTAAAATATTTGACATCCAGTCATTTTTTTTTTTTTTCTCAATAAACGCATACAGGCCTAAATCTATACAGCTACAACAAACACATCCCAAACTGTTCAACTAACAGAGACGGAGAAATGCGATTTAATGTCCACTCGATGACAACTAGGTCATACCATGACAAAGATACAATTCAATTACATTTTAATAATTTGCTTTAGGGGGATGGGGTGGGAACTGGAGGACCTGGAGAAAAGCCATGAGATCGGACAGTCAAACCTACGCCTTGTCACTTATAATCTGGGAATCGAAAACACGTCACTTGACTCAATGACTTATGAGTAATTCGGCAACCCAACCCCCCATTCAACTAAAAGCCAATGACATCAACCTGTTCCAACATTGTCAAGCCCTTATTCACAAGTCTACCTATACTCGAGTTTTTATATAAAATATTTAGTTACCCTATGAACCCAGTCTTCTCTTTCTGTATCACCAATACATCTGTCTAATGATTCAGGTGTTAATATTAAAACAAAATTCCGTGATAATTTGATGCTTAACAACAAATTCTCATCAAACTTTCCTGCACGTAATCTCTCAATGTCCAAAAATACAGAAAAACCTCGTATTTGAAGATGCACCTTTAATAAACTGAAAATTTAAAAAATATACATAGAAAAACTTATATATAATATACATGTGTATTAACACAATAAGGAGACATTATAAGGAGTATTCTACTTTTGTTTTATTAATTATGATATCATAAGCTGGTGATAACCCTATTTATAGTACAGAAAGTAGATTTTATAAGCCCATCATGACAACCCTATGTATAGACATAGTATTGGAAGTGATGTGATGCCACAACCTCCCATGTACATGTAGATTGTACATGCAAATCATGATAACCCTATTCATAGTATAGGAAGTGATCTCATGCCACAGCCTCCCATGTAGACTGTACATGCCCATTATGATAACCCTATTTATAGTATTGGAAGTGATGTCATGCCACAACCTCCGATGTACATTGCAAATGCCCATCATGATAACCCTATTTATAGTATTGGAAGTGATGTCATGCCACAACCTCCGATGTACATTGCAAATGCCCATCATGATAACCCTATTTATAGTATTGGAAGTGATGTCATGCCACAACCTCCATGTAGGTTGTACATGCCCATCATGATAACCCTATTTATAGTATTGGAAGTGATGTCATGCCACAACCTCCATGTAGGTTGTACATGCCCATCATGATAACCCTATTTATAGTATTGGAAGTGATGTCATGCCACAACCTCCATGTAGGTTGTACATGCCCATCATGATAACCCTATTTATAGTATTGGAAGTGATGTCATGCCACAACCTCCATGTAGGTTGTACATGCCCATCATGATAACCCTATTTATAGTACTGGAAGTGATGTCATGTCACAACCTCCCATGCAGATTGTCCATGCCCATCTCATCATTCTCCTGTATGAAACCCAGCTAAATACACCTGATCTGATCAACTACTGCATGTCTTCATTCTCGTCATTGTAACACAATGGCCATGGGTGAAATTTTGCCTGGACAGTGGCTTTATGGTCTAATCTTATTTGGACTTCCAACTGAAAAGAGTTCTTTTATGTTTACACCAACTGAAACATGTGATCTCAGTTTTTCGTACTCTCCGAAAGAATAGAAGCTATTCCTTGTCAGATCCCCTGTCCTTGCCCATTGACATGGCGAAATCAAGTTTCGATACCATGCTTGTACATGACAAGGAACAGAAGTAGGATTAACTCTGTGAATTTTGTTTTGATTTTCCTGTTTTCTCCCACTGCAAGGAAGTATATCTTCTTTGATTGGCAAGGAAGTAATATGAAATAAAGATACATCATGTTAGTCCCAAAATGACTTAGTTTGTACAGAGTGAAGGCCACATCTCTAATGCAGTCAGGGTATCAGGTGTAAGTCATTAAACCTCAACATAAGGAGATGTAGAGAATAACATACCTTGCTAATTGTGAACCATTAGATCTTCTGTATGATATAAATACATCTATTGTCCTCATACCACTACCTAAACTAACACCTAATTGATGATCTGTTAATGGTAGAGCTATATTCTGACAACTAGAACTTGGACTCACTAATTCTGAAATATACACAAAAAAGGTCTTTTAACTACACTAAACATTACACAGTATATATTCAATTTTAAAGTGGCTAATTGTCATATTTGCGTTTACGTTGATATCCAATCGGAATTAATGCACACTAAAATGTTCTCAAATTAAGAAAAAATAAACAAATATCAATGGTAGATAATCTTCCTGCTTTGATTCCTTCCGATTAAAACCAGGTCAAATAAATGTTACCCAACACCTATAGGTGGCACTTGCTTGTTTCTATTGTATGCAGAGGAATGTCGAAATGTGATATTTTCAATTTATACCATTGTCAATACTTGTACTGAATGGAAGTAGTCCATATTTGAACCAATCTTCCGTTTAGAGATTCAACCATCACAATATTGTGGCTTGCAAGGTATTCAAAATCCCTCAAAGGACAATAACAATAAGCATTTAAACATTCGTTAACATAATACCTGTTTAATCAGTTAAAATTACTCACTGACTTATTGGAATTATTTCACAATGTATTCTTAAAGATACATTATGGGAGATTCGGTAACGAGTTGGCAGTTCTCACTATAATAGTTAAACACTACATAATGTAAAGGCAATTTGCTGAAAATTTCATTCAAATTGATCCACTATGAACCGAGAACTAAGCGACTGAAATTCCCCCCTAGCCTCGGTCATCATTACTAAAGTCAGTACAATAAACAGCATAGTTTCGATTATCCATTTAATCGTTAAATCGAGAAGGAAAGTTATGCAGTAAATCGGCTCACAATCCACTAAAGATCGCAGGCTAGCGCTGCCATCTAGAGTTGATTATGTCCTGGATAGGTTATTTAATGTCTAATTAATAATTTAGATAACATTTCAGGCCTAAAGAAAGACCTGCAATAGACAGATTTAGCTCTTGCATAATATATGTTTAAATATCTTATGTTTTAAAAGTTTTAAATTCAGACTTTATAAATTTGCCGCTGCTGATAGTATTTTTACTGTTACATATATATTAATTTGTCACTGTAATTTTTACCTATATAAATTTATCTCTATTGTTATTGTAATTGTTATCTATATAAATTTACATCTGTTTTTACCATTAGTATTTTATTTTTTATCTGTATAAATTTATCACGCTTGTTTTTGTTAGTATTTTAATTATTACCTGTATAAATTTGTCACTGTGGTTAGTATTGAAAGGTCATCTATAAATATTTATTATTGTCATTAGTATTGTAATTGTTACCTATATAAATTTATAATTGTAATGTTGTAGTATTGTTATTTATATCAATTTATCACAGTTGTTAGTATTGTTAATGGGGCTATACAATATACCTGAAAACACCGGAAAACCACTAAATACCGAAAAATACACCCTAAATAGGTAACCCGGAAAAGGGCTATACTAATATTAACCCTAACCAAGGCACACTGAGGACCAGACTCCGGGTTACCTATTTAGGGTGCCAGTCTCCGGGTTACCTATTTAGGGTATTTTCCGGTATTTAGTGTTTTTCTGGTGTTTTCCGGTATTCAGTATAACATGGAGTTTTCCGATAGTTTTCTGATGTTTTCCGGTATATAGTATTGTCGTTGTTAATGTTACCTATATAAATTTATAAATGTTGTTAGTATTGCAATTGTTATCAATACAAATTTGAAGATTAACAGTAAACTAGTTGAAGTAATAAAGTAGTTGTTGCAATATAGAGTTAATTTCTTTACATTACTGTGTGGACAGAATATGAGATACTCGATTGAACTTCTGAAATTTAATTTTCTCCATCCCAGGAATAGTAATAATCAAGTGTAAAGAAATCATAAAATGATTCAAAAAGAAAATATCCCTACCAACCACAATAACTAAAACATGTTCCATTCTTTGATTACGTTATAATTTTAATCACAGGATGGAAGTCCAAAAGACAGATATAGAGGCTTACCATTTAAATGTTGGAGTATAAGTTTTCTATGTATACTGTTTGATATAGCACATTCATTTCTTAATTCTTCCTCACATAATGTCTGTAGAACAAATTTATCTACGCCTTGGCGTAACATATGATATGTGTATTGGGACAGATCGGGGGACAATCTCATTAACCAATTATCTAAGCTGGTTGGGTCACATGATGAATAATCAGCTGTAATTTTGAGAGATTTCAATTCTCGCATAAACCTAGAACGATAAAAGGAAAAGATAATAAAACATAATTTTGACTATTTTTTCAGAATTGATGATATATTAAGCAGATTTATACACTTGGATCTCACTATAAGACAGGGTCACCAAAACTACCAACAATATTATATTAAAACCATTGTGTGCAATCTGGACAGGACTGCTACATGTGTTGCCTGCAGAAGGGAACCATGGTGGCTAGGTGGGTAAGGCGCAGGCTCGCTAGCCTGGAGGTCGGGTGGTCGATCCCTGCATTGGTCGAGAAATTTCATCCGGATTTTCCGACTTGGTTTCCCCTTGTCAGTGATGCAGGACGGAGGGCCTGACAAGGACAGCTGTCTAGTCCTTCGGATGAGACAAAAAAACGAGGTCCCGTGTAAACATTGGAATGCACGTAAAAGATCCCTTGGCAGTTGGAATTCGATATAAGAGTAGGCGATAGTGCCGCTGCCCGGGCAAAATTTGCCTCATAGCACACTGTATGGCGTATGCCCGTCTTCATTAGCCCAGTATAGGAGCAGAACAGTAGGACGTTAAACCCCATTTCATTTCATTTCATGCCTGCAGAAACCACCAACATCAGCAGTATAGTGACATCGTAGTTTATATCAAACACATATGCAAATGGGAGTTTAATGTCCTGCTTGTTTGCACCGACTGAGCTAATGAACATGGGCGTACTCTATGAGGGAAATTTTGCCCAGACAGCAGGGCTATAGCCTACTCTTTATTCCATCTGTCAAGAGGTTTTTTTTACGTACATGTCAATGTGTACACAAGACCTCTGGTTTCGTTCCATCACAAAAGGCGGAAACCACGCTGGAGAAAACCTGGTGAACTATCTCGGCCAACACCAGGATCGACCCAGCTGAGCCACCGAATTTCGTCAAACACATGAAGTATTTACCTTTTTCTAACTACACTGTTCTGCATGTCCAGACCATCTTTGAGATCATCACAATTTAAGGTCAGTAAAAGATCACCGTCGATTTGTTCCTCGTAAAAAGTTTCTTTATATTTCGTAAAACCAACCTTTATTAAACAGAAAGTACAAATACTAAAAAAAAAACAGGAATAAGATTACAGAGCAGCACTAAAATGATTATAGAACTGTAAACTGTTTTCAAACGATTGGTCAAGAATATCCCTTGCCACAATTTTATAGTCTTTCAATTTATATTCATTCCTTCCTACATGTATGTTATATTTTATTTAATAATTTGTGTTTATAACTCATATTTTTTAAGTTGTTTATGTTATTTTAAATAATTATATTATTTGAAAAATTACTTGTATCCAAAGTGTATATCAAAGCACTTCAGTGAAGACAGCACTATAATAAATAAAAATATACTTATAAAAAATTGGGATAAAGCTAAAAATTGTCATATTTTTTGGAAAAATATCTTGCTGATCCAAGGTATACACAATAGGTGATTTTATTTTTTTTTGCAATTGAAACCCATCAAATTGAACAATTTCGAGAGAAAGCATAAATACCTGAGAAACCCAATAAATAACATCATCAACTGTCCATAGTGGTACTTGTTGCGATAACTTGTGAGGTATCTTTTCACCAATAATCTTTAAAGCTTCAACAGCAAGTTTGGAAGCAACAGCATTAGGACTACTTGCTATCTTCTTTAATGGTTCAACGGCATCAATTTCATGAAAAATCTACAAGTAAAATAATAAACAAATCTTCTTACTAACAAACACATTATATAAAAGACAGTGGGTCCGAACTATGGAAATTAATATCTAAATACTGATATAACCAAATTTATTTTCAAAAGTGAAATTTATACATGTATGTCTTATTTGTAATTTAGTTTATTTATTTCATTTGTAAATTTGATTTCTGTACCATATTTAGTCATGGAATTTGCACGCTATAAAAATGTACAATAATAATAATAAAGGAAACATATAAAATTTGTAGAGCAGAGCTTATTCAACATTTACTGTTCACTTTAAACTCAGAAAAATTGCTTAAAATATAAAATAATTCTTAATCAGTTACCATCCCCCATCAAAAAAAGATCTTTTTACAAACCTCAGTTCTGCCTTGTTCAGCTTTTATGTAGGATTCCATTGCGAAGTGAAATGCTGCCAATGTTTGCGCTTCCATTCTACGACTAAATAATAATGGTATTAAATGTTTTAACCAGATCTTATCCCGACCCTGTTTATGAGTGAGATCACTAGCAGCGAAAGATGATGGTCGATTAGAATTAATAAACGGAAGGACTAGATCGAGGGTACCCGATTTTGAAACTTTAGCTTCTAATTCTTTATTAGCTACTAAAGCACTGGTAGCCAAACAAGCATAATATCGAACACTGTTATCATCGGAAAATGCCAAAGGAAACAACCATTCGGGAACTTTGTGTTTTGCCATGAATTCTTGATTTTCACATCCACCAAACAAAGAGAGATTAGCCAACGCCTTCGCACATCGACGCAAAACTTCAATTTGACTACATCTGCACCAATGTAAAATTACATCCAAACCCCCGAGATTAATGACTTTCGAGCAAGTTTCTTCTGAAAGTTTGAAAAGATTTTCAAGCACGCCAACAGTTGACTTAGCTAATGTTGTATCTCCTATAGCTTTACAAGTCATTCTAACAACCCTATCTAGTCCAACTCGAGCTAACCGTTCTCGATTCTTTGTCGACATCACCTGTTCTAACAGATCAACAGAACATTTCAACAGTTGGTGATTTGAAGATGTACAATTTTGTATGAGGATGTCCAGCAGGCCTTCTAACTTGATAATATCACAGAGGCCATATGCCAAATCTCGACCATATATAGGAGTATACCACGCCGACTCTATTATATCTAAAATCTCTCCTAAAAGATTACACTGGCTGCTTTCATCTGTATCCTCATCTTTTACAGATGTTATCAGATCTTCTATTTGTTGGGACATCGTTTGGTAACTCAGCTTGAGATTATGGCCATATTTATGGATTACAGAACCTGGATGCAAATGTAGAGGATATTTTGCATAAAAATTAGAACTATTTGAATTATCATCACTGTCTGGTGTTGGCGGTTCAGCACTATCTCGTTCAGAATCATATTCTGGCATACTGTGTCTCCTAAAATTTAAAACCTCTTCTTGTTTGATTGTGTCTAGTATTGGTTCCTTTCTTGATTTGCTTCGAACTAATTTGGGTGAACCCTCATCTGATTCTGGTAGATCAAAGAAAATTGTTGAATTGTCTGCTATCTTTAAGCGTTCCCGTCTGTTAGGGACATGTTCTGGTTGCACACGGTCAGTGGAAAATGTTGCTTCAAGAAATTTTCCCTTCTCGTAGGCCGATCGTAAAAGTGCTGCATCAGACTGTGATCTTTCTAACAGTCTACTAGCATCTAAATCTACCACAGACTGAGATCTTTCTAATAACATTTTGTTCACATCTATGTCTAAATCAGATGATATATCAGAGAGCTTTCTGACCCCTGAATCAGATTCACATCTAGTTACTGTTCGATCCATGTTTAAAAAAGACATTTAACTTAGTGACCACAAGACATTCCTTTTTTTTATTTGCAGCTTGAAAAACAGCACTCAAAACCCATTTACTCATCAATTACCATAACTGAAATTAAAAAATTATAAAACATTTAAAGCTGCCATGACCTGCAAGTATTATTGTGTTTTGGCAATATTTTTTTTAATTTTTTAAACATCCCAAGACAACTAGGGTGCGTATTAAATCCTTTGAAGTATGAAAATTATTAAACTTAGCTGTTAACAATGCTAAATAATCAACCCTGTTGTCAAAGGAGATAAAAATCAATAAATAGGTACCTTCCAATAAGCTGAATGACCCACAGATCTGATAATTGTGACCAGTATTAACATGGTTTTGTAAATCATTAGAATCATATTACTGGGAGTTATTATTCGATATAGTTGAAATAATATGAAACCATACCTAATAAATTTTCAAAAAAACTATTATAATAGTTTCAAACATATATATGGAGCCGGGGGTTTGTACAGTATCTATAGGAGTTATTGTTGGATATCATTGAACATCAATAAGAATCTTCTTTCAATAATATGAAATCATAACTACCGGTGTTAAATTTTCAAAAAACCTATAATAATAGTTTCAAATATTGTATACGAAGGCCTGGGTGATTGGACCTATGGAGTTATTGTTGGGTATTATTGAACATCAATAAAAAAAATTTCTTTCAATAATATGAAATTATATGGTAATTATACCTATCTAATTTTTAAAAACCTAAAATAATAGTTTTAAATATTGTGTACAAAACTGGGTGATTGCATCTGTGGGAGTTATTGTTAAGTATCATTGAAGATCAATAAAATATTTCTTTCAATAACATGAAAATATACCTATTCAAAAATATCCTTGTGGCTTATGGTTGGATATATATGAAGCATTGGAAGCATAGATTTGGAGTGATAGGCATCTTCCTATGATGAATCTGCTAAAAGGAACTTTTATAAATAAATTCTAACGCCTCATGTGAACTAATGAACTATGTTCACCACCTACATTTGTCTTCTTAAAAAATTGTCTTAATTGCTACATGTATACAATGCCAAAGGCTACACTAAGATTTATGCAAATGACTAAAGACCGAAAGACTGTTCACCGTAGATTATTGCATATACACAAAAACACATACTTATGGAAATATAAATAAACACACAGTTGCTTACCATGCTATCTATTTTTTCAACCAATAGGTACAAAGAATTTGAACTTATGCATTCAAGACTAAGTTTAGAAGAGCATAGGATTGATTGGAACAAATTATGATTTTATAGCAATAAATTTTACAGCAAATATTTGTACTTTAAATGTCACAATAAGTAATAATGACAAAAACTGGTTTCTGATGATGACAATAACATGTTAAAGTTGTTTACTATATGAATACAATCAGTTGTGCTTTATAAAATTGTGTAATAATGATTCTTCGTACATAATTCCCAACAACTAAAATGGGGTTTAACATCCTAAATTGACTGATAAATTTGCAACAGAAGCCATTTCTATGTTAATTTCAATTTTGTCAATTTGGAATTTTCTCAAGTCGGCAGTCGTCAGCACGCCTTCATTCTATTGTATGACGACAACATGTAATTTTGTAGAAATACTACTGACATAAATTTGAATACCGCACAGGAATTAAATATGAAAAATAACGAGGTGCACCTATTTTTTACCAGGTGAGAGAGAGAGAAATGGGGTTTAACGTCCACTCGACACAAACTATTTCATTTCTGGACTAACTAATGATTTCTAATTTTATTTCAATAATTCGCTTGCATGTAGGGGTCATTTAGCTTTGGGAGGAAACCGGAGGACCCGGAGAAAACTCACGAGGTTGGACAGGCGACCCTACTCCTAGCCACATACAACCAGGGATTCAAAACCACGCCAGTTGACTCAATGACAGACTTTATGGTACAGCTAACCATTCAGTCATCCAACCCCCCTTTTTTACCAGGTATGAATTTGAATATTTTGTTGACACGTAATATTTGTATGTGGTCTGAAACTGCCTGAATACATAATAAGAGTTATGTCCCTTTATTTTCGGTAAAAATGTTCGACAAGAAAAATTCCAACACTGTTCTGGACCATGGTGACAACCTATCATGCAAGTGAAGGTCAAATCCAGCATTCTGTCAAATAATATAGTCCAATGGCCTGCAAAACAAATTTCAAAAGCTACAAAAATCACACTGCCTATGTGCATTTTAAAATGTACTAGCACTAACCAAATGCATTGACAGTAGGCAAGCCCGAAAATAACCACCTATGATTTTCAACAATTAACATAAATTACATCGACAATTTTTAAATCTTGAACCAGAGACTCATTGTCCTAGTCACTGTCACAGAGATGTTTAACAAATGTTTTATCTCTTTATGGTTATAGATGCCTGGGCATTTTTCACACATGTCAAATATTTCAAGCACATGAAGGAAGTTAGACTCGGAGGTGATTTACTGGGTGATTGAAATGTTGTAATACTCTTATATAATACATGGATGTAAATGATAAACTGAAAGCAGACTTATTACTTTGACAGGCAGACTTGGTCATTTGACAGGTGGACTATGAGCACAAGCTCCAAATTTGACGGGCAATCCTTCAATTCTTATTGCAAGGTCAAACTTTTCTCATATCTTCTACACCCCAAATTTTTGGTGCAAATGATGGTATCAGCCATATTCATTACCAGGCTAATTCATTACCGGTAAAATCGGCGTATTCATGACCAGTATATTATAGGGTTGATTGGTTGGTATATAAAGGTGCTAATTAGTACTCATCAGTGTGGATAGAAGCCTATACGATAATTATTAATTAATGATTGGTGTTTGATGTATTAAAATTGTTTTTTTTATTATTGAGTTGTTGTTTAAATTATTTAATCTTAAGCTTGAGATTGTAAATCCCGGCTTTGTTATTTTGATTGGTCGGTGTATAAAGGTGCTAATTAGTACTCATCAGTGTGGATAGAAGCCTATACGATAATTATTAATTAATGATTGGCGTTTGATGTATTAAAATTGTTTTTTTTATTATTGAGTTGTTGTTTAAATTATTTAATCTTAAGCTTGAGATTGTAAATCCCGGCTCTGTTATTTTGTATTTTAAACTTCAAACCAATTCCGATGCAAGCTTGGAATTTGTATATATTTCGAATAAAATATGAAACTTTCACCATTTGATATCGATATCTCAGATACATATCAAGTTAACTATAGCCTAATTCCAATGGATCCTTGTATCGTTTGCCGTTCCACCGTGCGTCCGAGACAAGAAGGTCTTCAGTGTGAAGAGTGTAATCTATGGCACCATAGAAAATGTACATGTACAGGTATGTATTTATAATTTCACAGATTTTGCTTGCTTTCATTAGTATTGAAATAAATCATAAGTATTGAAATAATTACACGAGTTTTGCTAGCTATACTTACTCGAACTTATATTCATAAAATATTTAACCCATTCACTAAATTTTAAATAATTTTGTTCTCTTTAGATATTCTTACCAAATCGTATTTTACGTTATTATTTAGGCTATTCCTGTTGCTGTTCATGAAATTACCGCTACTTTCGACGAAGAAGTACCTATGGATACTAGTGTTGGACGTGAACAAGAAGAATTGCCTCTTATGGAGACCAGTTCCGAGGCTGTCCCTCTGGAAAGATCCTACGTTTTACACGAACCAATACTGGAAGAATCGATCGACGACGATGCTCCCGTCTTTGATGTACCCGCAGCTGAGGGCCCCCGTTACATCATTCTCGAAGGTGGTACCGAGAGGGGAAACGTGAAGTTGCTGGATAGGGAGGGTTACTCCTACATCTTTAGGGTATGTAATTACTTTATATTTAGTGTAGTGTAGTGCAAGCAGTCTTTTGCAAGATCCAGGAAAATGGTCTGCAGGTATGTATAGGCAACTTCTAAAATAAACAATATTCTGTAATCATTATCAATTATCAATAATCATTATCTTTTGTATTTGTGGTAATTGTAAATAAAGTAAAGTAAAGTTATTACAATTCTAGCTATTACAACTATTAATCGCATCAACTGAATACATTGTTTTTTAATGTGATAAATAAAGAAATATTAATAGTAACATCAAGTTAAACACAATACTCAGTTCAAAGTTGAATACGAAACTATGGTTATTATTAATCGCATCAACTGAATACGACGTTTTATATGTAAATATTGTCTTCGAATATGAAATATTTCAACTGTTGTTTGTATTATGACTATTTAAAATATATAATAAATACTTTGTTAATCTTTCTATTGTCTTGTCTTAATTGATTAATTAACACCCACAGACATTGGCACTGATGAGTACTAATTAGCACCAATCAACCCTATAATATACTGGTCATGAATACGCCGATTTTACCGGTAATGAATTAGCCTGGTAATGAATACGCTAGGATTCCAAATGATCATTCTATGATGTTGTATTGACCTGTCAAAAAATGCTTATGGCACAAAATGCAGCATGACTAACTGAATATGCAAAAATCAAGACATTTTCAAAAGAACGCCCCATCCCATAGCCTACATGACAACATTTAATGTATAGCTCCCCGATGTATCGTCATGGACCTTATAGTATAGTATCATATATTCATCTTGCGAAATAGTGGTTTATATGGCTACAAAATCAAGCACCAAATTAGGGATTAGTCTTATTTGATCACCCCCAATTCTGGAGCTTCCTAAAAAAATTAATCGGTTATATTATTCTATATTTAATTAATATTACTGATATTTTAATTCATAATGTACTCACTATAAGATATAGTTATTGATGATAGCATAACGTGTAAACTATGATGCGAATTTCTATTTTTAGCTTCTGTCGTGAGCTTTGCGGAATTTAAAATTTCTTTCCTAACTAAATCAGGGGAAGAGGGATGGGATGGGAGTCAATCGGTTCACAGACACTAGACAGTCACTAATTAAGATAGCTTTTTCAAATCTTCAAATCAAAGATACAAATAAATGACATAGAAGCTAATTGTTTAGATTTACATGTACCTAAAATCGAGTTCATAATGAGTCACCCCTTTCAAAACAGCTAATTTTCTTTCAGTCATCCTCTTTTCATTCAACACAACAGTGAGGCGGTGACATATATTTATTTACCCTTTACGCAAGAATACAAACAAAGGGAAACAACTCTAAATATCAAGTGGTCCAGGGCCCTTCGACGCCATAATGTCAACTTGACAACACAAACGAATAATTCTATGGTTTTGGGACTTACATAAAGTTATGTTTTTTTCTGTTTTTTCTATGGTCACATGTCCAATACTAGGTCAGAAGATATTGCTACCTCATATTTCGAATTCAAATTGCCTCCTCGGGTTTTCGTCCCATCCGAGTTGCTAGGAAACTCGGCTACAGCGTACACCAGGGAATTGGCAGCAATCACGGAAGCAATTACTGATCCTACTCAACAATAGAACGCTACCCCAACAAATTCCTTAAAGTCACACACTATCCTTATTTGTATTCTGCCATCTTTTTTAAAGCTACGTTCCCAGAAAAGTATTTATCGGGTGGTTATTTCCAATAAAAGTATGGCAATTTTGGTATATATGGAAAGCAGAAATATCCAATCTTACTAGAAAAATAATGGATTTCCTGAAAAACACCCATGGAGCACATACAGGACAAAAATGTACGGGTTTCCCTAATCGACAGCCCAGCGATTAGGAGTGTCTGCACGCGTGACGTCAAAGGTTGCACGCGGAGATTGAGCGCTTGATGTAGGCCTATGTGTTGATAAACTTTATGGAGAGTTAGACGTACAACACTTTCTGAGATAAAAATCACGGGATAATTAATTAAACTTATATTTGTAATAAATAGTAAGCGATAAAGGCTACATCGTCGTGTGTATGCAATGAATTCTCTTCCGACCTCGCACCCGTTGTGTCACGTGACACAAACATGACCTCTTTTGATCGATTTTTTATAGCCGGCTATTCCCTGACAATTGCAATGTTTTGAGAAGGATTTGAAACAAAATTATGATAAATTAATTACATGTAGTTTGAATATATGTTTTTAGTCCAAATATATCATCAAATCACCCAAATCGGGACTAACATATGGGTGTTTAGCAGTGGGACGAAACCGGAGGACCCGGAGAAAACCCACGAGGTTGACTATTTGTATTCTGCTATCCCTTTAAAGTGATGTGGCAGTCGGTATGAGAACCTTAATTATTCTTAATAAGAATATGACATCACCGTTTGACATGACTTGTGGAATATGTCCAGCCTCGTTCTTCGCGTCCCTTGGTACAAATGGCGCGGAAACGCATTATCGTACATGATTCGTGTACCAATGGTAAAATGTTTATTTTGTCTTAATATTGGATATCAGAAGCCGGTAAGATATCTACATCAATGTTGATTTAATTTGACAAATAATTCGTGTTTTCAATGTCGAATATTGGGTGATATGGCCTAAATTTGTGCGCAAATATTAAGTGTGTTTTGCACTCGTTGTTAAGGTCCGGTGTTCCATATATACACAGTACCATGGCTGCGGTCTTAGGTTTAATATTATTAAGCCTGTATCTAAATAACACATTATCTCTAAAACATTAAAAACAAAAGTACAATTATAACAATGGCATAAGACTTTATTTTATAACAAGCTACAACATAATGTAACAATATCAACAGATTGGAACCATATAGATGACATCAGGGGCATGGTGACCCATGATTTTGCATGAGGAACAAGATCCCGCCCAGGCCTCAAAAAACAATATTTAAATGTGTTTGCGGCGAAGGGGGTGGAGTGGGGCATCCCTCCCAGTGTCACCGTGTGGAATATGCTAGAGTTGATTTATAGTATATTTGACCCACGATTTATGTTTGATACTGGTTAAGCATTATGATTATGATTATAATGTTGAAAACCGCATTGAAACCGCGTCACTTTTGCCATTTACGAGAGGCGCAAAAACCCAAAACCATGACGTAAAGCGCGTCATTGCGTCCCTCTCACTGAGTCCCTGGATGACATAGAGTAGAGACAAATACATTTCTGTTAATTAACAGTACCAGTAATTCCATAACAGAAAAGATGCATTTATGGGAATCAAACATGAAAATGATTACATGTGCATTTAACGGCGTTGGACCAACTGAGCACCGGCATGTATCCAGATATCAGTGAACATTATCAGGCTGATGTCCCCTGCCGAAAACCCAAAATGAATAGATGACACATATATTAATTAATCGCACATTCATTTTTTTCAAAAGTATCAAGCAATCTAACTGATTATCAACTATACACTAAGTTTCATCACTTTCTATCAGATAGAATTAAAGTTATCTTGTCCCAAAGCATCGACCAATGAAATTGCTTAGCTCTGCTTAGCTTTAGCTTGAAATGTTAATCATTAAATTCAGTCAATACATTCACCTAATGAACATCTACATCAAGTTTAAACATTCTACCTCAATTAAAAGCTGAGTTGTTATGTTCCAAAGTCTTGACCAATCAAATTGCTTATCGCTCCTTAGCCTAAATAGAAAATTCTCATCATCGAACTTAGTCTAGGTAATGATATGATGAATCTATACTCGGAGTTTCATCAATCTCACTTAATTATAATCAAAGTTATCGTGCCCCAAAACATCAACCAATCAGATTGCTTATCTCTGTTTACCGTAAGCAGACAATGTTTATCGCCGAACTGCGTCAATTAAGGCATTCACCTAATGAACGCCAACACTAAGTTTGGACATTCTACCTCAATTAGAAGGAGAGTTATTGTGTTCCATTAAGTCTCGATCAATCAAATTGCTTAATGCTCTGCTTACCCTGAGCAGATAATTGTCATTATCGAACTTAGTCAAGGTATTGCTGTAATGAAACTATACACCAAGTTTCATCACTCTGACTTAATTGAAGCTAAAGTTATCGTGTCCCAAATGACCAACCAATCAAATTGCTTATCTCTGCTTACCCTAAACAGAAAATGCTCATCTTCGAACTCCATCACGGCATTGACCTAACTCAATTAGAAAGCGAGTTATTGTGTCCCAAAAGAGTGTGACGAACAGACAGACAGGCGGACGGACGGACGAACCCATTTTAATAGTCCCATGCTTTCTTCGAAAGGCGGGGGACAATAAAATACACAATTACTCAGTGAAGCAGTGCCTTAGCAGAGGTCTACCGGACCATATATTAATAGGTTGATTGTAAAAGTTTTGCAAGAATTTTTCGATAATAGTTACTGAAAAAAGTACTTTGGATTATTGCCTGAAAATAACTAACACCGTATGTTCTTTTAGCCTTAACGTTGTTCAAAAAATCATGACTTCGACTGCACCCCACTGATCGCCAAATCCTTAGTGGAGATATCAGGAGTATTGTACGGTGTAAATCTTCGATAATAACTAAAGACTGGAACTATCCTTGAGACTATTTATTACCGGAAAACATTAAACATCATATACGAAGAACAGCACGTCCGACAAGCAGAGTAACTGTCCTGGAAACGGGATGAAACCTAGAATGTTTTGTCAATGTACAAATCGGTATTTATAATAAAATGGTATCTAAGGAATTAACAATATACACCAATGCTACTAATAACAATTAAAGAGGTAAGATTAAAATATAAAAGACATTACAATAAAATAAACAATAAGATAGTAATTAAATCTATTAATGTGTCAGCTGTCAACGATCAGTCATTAGATAAGTAGCTTAACGTCTAATTAACAACGTAGGATTAATAGAAACATAAGAAAAATAGAAATGTTTAAATGAAAGAATGGATAATGAACGAATGATATATTGAAAGAAGGAAATACCAACAATTCACAACATTATCACCATTATATTTTCCTCTGCGGTGAAAATGATTCGTCCTCGGATCATAATAACAATATAAATAAACATTGATAATACCGCTAAAAGTTCAGGTTTGTTTTAAATGTATGAAGCCTTTTCACTTTAATTTACATTTAGTATATAAACAAGATAAAGATATAATGGTGGGGGGGGGACAATAATAATTTGGGTTACTCGCTTATAAACTCTGTGAATAGGCAATAACTGTTCATCATTATGGATATAATTTGAATGGCTTATGACGTCATATATATTTGAGTCCGCGATAATAATAAATAATTAAAATGTCGACAATAATAAGATACTATACTATGAATTAACTAAAATTTGAAATTAAATGATTAAATGAAACATAATATTCCAAAGAAGCTTTTATGCTGAACTGTTTATGAATTAATCTACGGCATCGATAATATCGATTTAATTGCTTATGCAGAATAAATAAACTATAGCAACATTCGAACGGGAATGTAATAATAAATCTTACCCAAAACATTATAAATTGAAGGCAAATAATTAGAGATCAGTGAATACATAAAAAGTCAGTGGTTTAAAACAGTTCATACGAATTCACATTTTTTTAATAACACAACATAAAACAATATTCAATCACTTTAATGAATAATTCCCTGGGGGTAATGTGTGTTTGATACTCCGAAAGAATACTGGATCTTCTTTAGCAATAATGTCCCAGTCCTCTAGGTCAAATCGACTATAAACGTCTCCCTCATTTGGACCTGGACCCTGCCTTTCCACATTTAACTGTAATTTTCCAGATTTTTGATTGATTTCCATTCGGGTAAATCCCGCTAATTTCAAACTTGATTTATCTGGATATGTCCACCCGCCTCTCGGGAAGACCTTAAGCTCTTCCTGATTCCGTTTATGTTGATTTATCAACGTTTCTACAAACCACTGCTCTGGGCCAGCAATTTTATTCGGATAGTTAGCTATAAAGGAAACAGCTTTCTGGTCCAACTTGTCTTCCTTCACCCACAAATTTTTGGTTGCAGGTTGATTCTTCCATCGGATTAAGTATTCAAGCTGTCCCTTCTTAACACGCCTTTTTAACACCCTTTCTGTTTCTTGGATCTGTGGCGTTGAAGCTACCATGACATCCGGTTTGACCAAATCTGTATTGGTTTTTATGTCAAGGGTTTGAACACTCTTTGTATATGTGTCCGGAAGAGCCATTATACATTTATCTGAACGTCCAAGACAATCTGTTTGACA